GTATATAAGGATTTCTCGTGCCAAGGTGAACCAATCAAATGCAACCTTATTATGCAACGGGACCAATAAGATGCAACTGTTTATGGTTCAAGACAGGACATTCACGTGGACGGCTATTGTTGTATTATTTTTTAAAGTTTGACACTAAGGGAAAAGAGGTCAGTGCCCCTGACTGGTCAGGTATTGCATATTTTAAAAATTCTTGTGGCACAGCGACTGACAGGCCTGGCCTAAGAGACTTATGTTTCAAATCAACCCTGTGAGTTTCATTTTCCTGGCTGTCATGTTCTTTTGGAGTCCTTCTGTTAGCCTCTCTGTCCGCCCTTGCTGCTGCCGCTCCTCGCTTGGACATTTTGGAATGAGCTCTCGTTCCAGTTAGGAGCCCTGTGGTCTGCATCTCCCACCTTGCAGTCCTTCTGCCGCCGTGCCTGGGTTGTGAAGACACTCACAGCTGTCGCCCACAGGACGGACTCATCACGTGGGGATGAGCGTGTCAGATGATGACTTTCCCCTGTGCCCGAGGTCTGTTTTTGTAGCGTGGGCCTTTGCCGCTTCCCTTTGCCCCACTCCTGGAAAGACAAAGGAGAATTCTTCCCCTTTGACAAAAAGAACTGCTCTGCCTGGAATGTTCAGCAGTTTCCCCTGTGCCCTTCTGCTTAGCCAACCTATACCTCTTAGTCTTTTAGGTGCCAGATCAAATTCATTTTGAAGAAGCCACTTGTCGCTCCCCCTGGGCAGCTAGTCATTGTCTTTGCTGCTCTGTGTATGTGGCCCCCTGCTTTTCTGTTTTACTTTGGGATCTGCCCTTCCCACTGCAGGGTCATAGAGCCCTGCCGGTTCACATCGGTCTCCCTCCTGAGGGCCCTGAGCTTGGCCCAGTCAGTGTAGTTGGTCATCCTGCCTTTGACCTAGTTGTTTTCCTACTTCCGTGGAGAAAACGACGCTTTGAGCGCACAGCGGGGTCCCTGGACAGGGGTTGTAGTACCTGAGCGTCCTCTGGATTGGTGTGAGGATTTTGTGAATAAATACATTTTCTGGGGACAGGATTCATGTCCCCACATATTCTGACCCACTGTTTGCTTCCCTCTCAGGAGATCAGCTTCCAAAATAAGCACCTGAACCTCTCAACAGGTAGCTCACTGGTGTCTCAGCCTCACATGACTGATCCTGAGGATACACATTTATTTCTCTGTCAGTATACATCGGGTCATCTTAAGAGATCACATCTGCTGTATACCACAGACCATTTTTATAATATACATCTTTATAAATTTGGCTTTAGGTTGGAGGTAAATGGGAATGTTTTGCTAAGAACTGTATTTCCAGGGGCTGGGACTTTAGTTTCATTTCTCAGCATCCATGAAATCTGTTTTAGGTTTGACTTTGATGACTTCCAGATCTACCAGATTGGCACCATGCGTGCAGGCTCTGAGGTGGGGGGCTTGCCTTGCTTGATTAACAGACCCTGTGGGACTGGGAAATGACCTTGGGTTTGTTAGCTGCGCCATTCTCAGATAAAAGGGGCTGCCCAGATCATTTTTAGTCCAGAATAGCCTGCCCAAAACAAATAACAAAGTCATTACTACAAATGATTACTGTTAAAAGTTCCTAGAAGGAGTAAACGAGCTACAAAGTGTTTTTGCTGCTTGGGCCCATGATAGTTTTCTGAACCTGATAGATTTGGTCATTTGTAGCCAGTTCCTAGCTGGGATGGTTGGAGAAAACCCTTGGATCAGAGGTCTGCTGGACTGAATATTTGTAAGAATGGAGAATGCTGGTCAGGCCTTGTGCAGAGAGGACTGCTCACTGACCCTGCTTCTGTCTGCTGATGGCCATCCTCTTTCTGGCTTCCTGTATACCACCGTGTGTTCCTTTGTCTAGAGACTAATTTTCTAGCTTCCTGTTCATTATTCGGACTCCTTTCTCCTAATTTGGAGGTAGAACCAGGCAGTGTAGTTTAGTGGGTGCTTTTCAGGAATCCTGGGGTCCTAGTGCCTTGGAGGAGCATGGCAGGTGCTGGTGGGAGCTGCCAGGTCTGGGGCTCCCATTTGTGTTGTCCCTGTGGCTGCCACACTCCCCAGAGCACTTACTCTCATGACATAATTTCTGTTCCCTCCCGCCACTCCAGACCAACAGCTGAGGGCCAGCCCTAGTCTAGTTTGGCTGCCTTATAGGTTAACTAAACTTTCCTGGGCCATCTGGGGAGCTCAGAACTGTTTTGAACCTGGCATATGTTTTCCCATGGAAACCAGAGTTCAAACCAACAGTTTTTGGAATGTGGCTCGTTCAGTTGAGTTCATGAACTGGTTGTGGTGGTGATTTTGGCTCCCAAGGGACAGAGAAGGCTGTAACTTGGGCAGCAGATTAATAATGCATTTGCTGGTCTCAAAGGGTGCAGAAAATCTGGCTTGAGCTTTGCTGGGGACATGTGACTCAGTCTTTGTGTGAGTAGTTTGTGGATCTGCAGCTTTGGTTGAACAGGTAGTAATGATAGCATTTCATTTCCTTCCCTCCTCTGAAAGGAGAGCACCTGCAGACCTAACCTATGTTATATGCTGTGTGTGTGTGTATGTGTGTGTGTGTACATGTCTGTAGAATTAGCCTGTCCTCTCTCGGCTTATAAGTGGAAGCAATAAGCAGCATGACTCCTGGGGTTCTAAATCTATTTCTTCGGTGGCTGTGTAGTTCTCCCAGACCATGGGGAACCATGGTGCCGTCTGCTGGACTTTGCCTTCTGCACAGTCCTCCGTCTCCGTGTAGCCTGGTGTAACCTGTTGCTTCCTAGTGAGGGTTTTCCCCATTTTTCAGTTTCAAAATCAAAGATACTATAGACCTCTTTCAAGAAACAATAGGAACTCTTAAGGTAGTTTATAAAATATTTTTAAAAATTAGCCCTGGCCGGTTTTGCTCAGCGGTTAGAGCATCGGCCTGCGGTCCGGAGAGACCCGGGTTCGGTTCCCGCTAAGGGCACGTACTTCGGTTGCAGTTTGTCCCCGGCCCTGGTTGGTCGTGCGGTGGCAGCCACTCGATGTGTCCCTTTCACATCGATGTTTCTCTCTCTCTATCTCTTCCTCTCTCTCCCTCCCACTCTATCTGAACAAAAAATGGAAAAATGTCCTCGGGGGAGGATAAAAAAAAAAAATTATACACACACAACATAACATTGGGAGTTAAGTAACAATTTAGCTAACCCCTCTGTTGCTTTTCTGATTTTTGTGTAACTCATATAATGTCATATTCTTGAAATTTTTTCTATTATACATTATCTGTATATTTAACAGCTACACAATATTTTAATAATACCATTAGTTTTGCCCTGGTCGATTTAGCTCAGTGGTTAGAGCATTGGCCCATGGACCAAAGAGTCGCAGGTTCGATTCTGGTCAAGGCCATGTACCTTGGTTACGGTTCTGTCCCTGGCCCTGGTCAGGGTCGTGCGGAAGGCAACCATTTGATGTGTCACTCACATCGATATCTCTCTCTCTCTCTCTCTCCCCTGCCCCCTCTCTACCTCCTACTCTATCTGAAGATAAATGGAAAAAATATCCTTGGGTGAGGATTAAAAATAATCACATCGATCTCTCTCTCTCTCCCCTGCCCCCTCTCTACCTCCTACTCTATCTGAAGATAAATGGAAAAAATATCCTTGGGTGAGGATTAAAAATAAATGAATAAATAAATAATATCAGTTTCTCTTTTTGTCTATTCAAACTGCATCTACTTTTTTTTAATATTGTGAATTAAAGTGTATTGCTTTTTAAATTTTTAAAAAATTTTGACAGTATTATAGATGTCTCCCATTTTCCCCCCTTTGCCCCCCTCCATCTGGCAGAAGTTGATTACTTTATTTTTTAAATATGTTTTTATTGATTTTAGAGAGAGAGATAGAAATATTATTGAGAGAGAATTATTGATTAGTTGCCTCCCACCTGCCCTCTACTGGGGATCAAGCCTGCAACTGAGGCATGTGTTCCGGGAATTGAACTTGCGACCTCTTAATGCGTGGGACAGTGCTCAACCGCTGAGCCACACCAGCCGGGCAGAAGTGGATTACTTTTTGAAGAGGGATTTTTTTTTCTTGAAATACATTAGTATATTAGGGAATATCAGGCCCTGGCTGGTTAGAACGCTGTGCCAGTACACGAAGGTTTCAGGTTTGATCCGTCAGGGCTCAACCAGTGAGTGCATAGGTAAGTGGAACAACAAACCGATGTTTCTCTCTCTCTCCCTCTGTCCATCTCTCCCCTCCTCCTCCTCCTGTCCCCCCTTTCTCTCCCTCTCTGAAATCAATAAATAGAAATTAAAAAAAAGAAATACAGTCACACTACCAGCAGCATTATAAGAATGCAAAAACATGGTACCTTTAATCTGCATTTCTCTAGTCTCCAGCAATGTTGAACCTTTCTGGTTTTTCCTAATCCTAATCTTTTTTTCTATGCCACAGTAGCTGAAATGCTGTGCACCTGGTTTTGAGTGGACACTTCACTTTTAACATGTGGTCTTGCTTTTTTGTTAGTAAACTTGTTGATGTGCAAAAACTCACACAATTAGGTTTGTAAAGAGCTTTTCTATTAGAACATTAAGAATCATTTTTCTGTGTAATGAGGATATAAATCTTGGTGGTTTTCCCTACAGATTAAAACAACAAAATTTTGGCTCATTTTCATTGGACAGAAGTTAAAATCTATATTTAAATGCCAGCTTTCTGTGGTTTCTTTCCTTGCATCATGGAGTGTTTTTCTAAGGTTATAAAAGATTAAAAGGTTTGATACTCTCTAATACGGTTTAGAAATAGTTTGAGAGGGAAAAAGTGAACCAGATAAACTAGTCCCTAGCTTCTTGTCTGGTTGTGGTGCCTCTGTGGTTTGCATTTCATATAGCTGGGTGAGGGGCCAGATTAGTCCAGCTGAATGCCAGGGCCAGGCCTGAACCCTGGTAAACAAGTGAGGTGGACCTGGTGCAGGGAACGAGCCAGCTCCTCACAATGGTTTTCCTTTTAGCTGCAGCCAGCCCGGTCCTAGGCCTGAAAGAATGCACCCGAGGCTCGGCGGTGTGGTGCCAGAGCGTGAAGACGGCCGCCGACTGCGGGGCCGTGAAGCACTGCCTGCAGGCCGTCTGGAGCAAGCCGACAGTGGTGAGTGCCCTTCGTCCTGTGCCGGGCCCTGTGCTCGGTCCCTTCGTATCATCTGTAACGGCTGCGCTGACAGAGCACAGGCTCATGTTGCTGCTCCTCACGGTGATCCTGTGAGGGAGGCAGGACCTGTTGGTGGGCTTACCGGTTCTGCAGAGGGAGTGGAGGCTGGAAAGGTTAAGGTTCCAGTCTCTTGGTGATAGAGACAGGATGGGTTCTCCCAAGCCCACGCTCTGTGCTCTGTGCTGCCCTTCAGGCCTCTGCAGACCCCACCTCTCCACCCCAGGGAGGCCGCAGGGTCACGGCTCCCATTCCCAGCGCTGGGCACACGGGCACAGCTTCCGTCCTCGGTCATGCACCCAGAAAGCAGATGCTCACTCAGCTTCTCAGATCCTTTCCCCCGTTTCGAGGTTTTCTTTCTCTGCCGCTCTCAGACGGCTGCCTGTTTGGGTCACTAATTCAGACGCTGGAGCTTTAGTAGATATTGAAAATTTTATTTCCAGCTGTAACCAAACTGGAAAAGATGCCACTGACTTTCTTCATCCTAACATTCAAATATTCAGATGGGGCTCTTAGCACTCATGGGGATGCTCCAAGTGACAAACCTCGGCGTGTTCTTCACGTGACCTGAACCCTCTCACGAGACGCCGCACTTTGTGGCTCACCCCTGACTCACTCTGGGGTGTGCGCTTCCTGTGGTGCAGACCAGGCGTGAAGGAAGAGTTCAAGTTCTAAAACTTGTCAGTGGCCCATGGAACTCAGTAAGAGAAGACTAATTAATTATATAACACTGCTCTTTAAGAAATATTTTCAGAATTCACTGGAAACTGCCCTTTGTGGCCACAGTTACTTTCGGATTTGGCCTCTAATTTGCTTCTGATCTTGTTTTTAATACTGCTTCCTCTTTCCAAGTTAAGTGTGTGTCAGGTGAGGACTGGAGATCTTTCTCTTTTGAGGACAGCCTCATGAGTGATGCCTGACTCTCTTGGTTGGCCCCATGCACATTATTGGCCTGACTAGGTCCAGAGGTTCAAACTGGTTTCTCTGAATGCAGCTGAGTTCATGGGCATTCCTTAATCTTACCCCGACACATTAGTTCCTTCTTTGTGGTCGAAAATCAGTTGATACCAAGAAGGGAGCTCCCCAAGAGATTTGAGAACCAAGTAGATTTCCCATGGTCCTGGGCCATGCGGGGCCCTGGATGCCGAGGCTTGTCGGAACACTGGGGTCCTTGCCCTGAGCTCTGGAGTGGTGACATGGCCTCCACTCGAACACAGCCTGACCAGGAAGCGGAAGGCCGATGGAGTGCAGGTAGCCTGCTGGTGTGAGTGCGCAGGGGCGTCGGGGCACCGGCCTGGCTGGGGCTGCTGCCCCGCCCCGCCCCCTGGAACTCGGTGCTGATGTTGGTCCCGGTGGTGGTACATGCCCAGCTGGTTTTCTCTGATTTCTGCAGCTCTGATTTTTACCTTTCTGAGCCTGTTTCTGTACAGAGCTGTTGTGGGCATTAATAGGAAATTTGGCTCATACTGTGTGCACCAAGTAAGATGCTGAGAGATAGAGGGTACAAGGAAAGGGTGTCTATCCGTTAAAAGCACAGAGTAATCTGGTCAGTTACACTGATCCTTCCTCTGTGGTGTCTGAGTGCTTCCTTTTTAGGTTGGGGAGCCTGAGTGTCAGATGTAGCCATGGTCATGTCCCTGGTTAGATACAACGGGGGAAAGGCCAAGGGGCTTCTCAGCTGTGTGCAGCGTGAGCCATGCCTGCAAATACAGGTCTCTCTCCCTCGTGTTCTTTCCTCTTAGAAATCCCTTCCCTGCGACATATGCAAAGACGTCATCACCGCAGCTGACAACATGCTGAAGGACAATGCCACTGAGGTAAGCCGCCCAGGTGTGTGGCTGTGTGAGTGGTGGCTTTGTGGCCACGGGCATCAGTTACTTAAAAGCTGTGACTTGGGGAAGCAGGGGGCCTAACAAGGAATGGTCCAGGCCCAGGTAGGATATAATTAGGTCATGTGGGCCACATACTGTTTCTGTCATAAGTCCCTCCCCCCCTCCCCAATCTTTTAAAAATGTAAAAACCATTCTTAGTCATAAGCTGTACAAAACAGGCTGTGGGCCCCAGTTTGCTTCCCCCACCCCCCGGTGTTCAGTGCCCAAGGTCGGTTGTGATTTTGTATTGCACGCTGTTAACCCTTGGGTCCATTTGGCTGTCTCTGCTTCCTCAGAATGCCCTGTGCCGGTGAGACTGCCGGTCGGAGGATCTGCTTCCTGCCCCGTTGCTGGGACAGTTGTGGCCCCACTCGCCCTCTCCCAGGTCCTCTTCCGGGGCGGGGGTGTCACTCTTTTCCAGCCTCCACTTTTCTGGGAGCTGTGGAGGGCCTCCTGCTCCCAGCCCATTTGTAAAGCAGTGCACCCTGACTCCCCCTGGCCTGTGTCCTCTCCAGCAGGAGATCCTCGTGTACTTGGAGAAGACCTGTGACTGGCTCCCTAAGCCGGACATGTCTGCCTCATGCAAGGAGATAGTGGACTCCTACCTCCCAGTCATCCTGGACATGATTAAAGGACAGGCGGTACGTGCTGGAGATGGGTCTTCCTTCAAGGCACCTCTGGGGTCTGGGGAAGTACCAGACCAGAACAGAGTGATTACAATGGAAAGTCCGTTCATACACTTGGGTTTTCTCAACAGCTCTTTACTACATTCCTGACGTCCGAATGGCTCTGGCACGGCAGAGCCCTCTGTCTGTAGCTTTCAGGGGTCGGGAAGAGCACAAGAAGTAGGAGCTTACAGAATTACTGACACATTTCTAGGTGCTGGTTTGATAACTCCTGTGGGATCTTTAACGGTCCCTCCGAGCGAGCAATTCATTTCATTTCTGCAGTTTTTATCCTAAGGAGTGAGTCAGGGAATGTACTTGCGGGTTCAGCTACAAGGGCGCTCAGCCTTCATTCAGTAAGTATGTGCTGTGTGCAAACCAATGCCCCAGAGGTTGGGCTCTCAGCAATGAGCAAGGAGCCAGGCTTGAGGGATTTGAGAAGATCCTAAGAAAGAAGACGTGGTTAAAAAACTGAGAGGGGACCAAGGTTTTGGTAAGGAACGTGGCATTACATCATGCATGTTTAGGCCATGTTTAAGGATTTCAAGTGAGTAGGAAGTCCTTGGAGTTCAAGGAGAGGGGTGTCATGATCATAGGTGCCTTTTGGAGAGGGTTTGGTCTAGGCCCCACCGATTGGAAGCTGAAAGGGGGACCTGGAGGACAGCCAGGCGTCACATGTGCTGGGGGCAGTGGAGATGGCAGGTGTATTTATTTTTTAGAGGATAAATGGACTAGTGGACTTGTTGGCGGAGGGGATGTCTTCCCGGTTTCTGGCTTGAACTCCGGGGAGAATGGTGCTCAGGCCATTGCTAAAATGGAGATGGGGGAAGTGGGCTGGGCGGGTTAGTTTGCGATGCCTGTGAACGGTATGCATGTGTGAGTCCAGCCAAGAGATGAGGAAGAGGACGTGTTCTGAGGCGCCAGGTGGCTGTTTCGTCTTCCCTTGGAGAGAAGATTTCAGCCGGACTTCTTTCCCCTCCAGAGCCATCCTGGGGAGGTGTGCTCCGCTCTCAATCTCTGCGAGTCTCTTCAGAAGCACCTGGCAGAGCTCAATCACCAGAAGCAGCTTGAGTCCAATAAGATCCCAGAACTGGACATGGCTGAGGTGGTGGCTCCCTTCATGGCCAACATCCCCCTCCTCCTCTACCCTCAGGACGGCCCCCTCAGAGAGCCCCAGCCCAAGGTAAGGGGTGGCCTCACGCGTCCCTCTGCGCCGGAGGAGACGGGGAGCGCAGTGCGCGCGCAGCTCTGGGGGGGGCGCTGCGCCAGCCAGCCTTCAGGTGCTGAAGTACCTGGGTATTTAAACAGGTTAGAAACCTGGGGTTTTAAAAGTATGCGAGTATTTCTCGTCTTCCCGTTAAGTTTTACTAAAATCAGTGCCCAACCGATAATTTTGAGTCTGTAAAAACACATTATGAACTACTCAGGGAATCTCACGCCAGTGCTGCGGTTGTGAGCGCGTGAGCAATTCCCAGGAGGTGGAGTCCTCGTAGTTGCTCTGGGAGGGTGCAGGGTTTGCAGCCTAACCGCCCCGTCTCCGCAGGCTGGTGGGGACGTTTGCCAGGACTGCGTCCAGCTGGTGACTGATGTCCAGAATGCCATCAGGACCAACGCCACCTTTGTCCAGGCCTTGGTGGAACATGCCAGGGAGCAGTGTGACCGCTTGGGGCCTGGCATGGCTGACATGGTGAGCCTGGTTTCTTCCTGGGCTCTGGAGACACGAGTGGGGGAACCAAGAAAACTTCACTTCCTGGGGTACCGTTTTAAGTTCCATCTTTGGGGTTTTGAGGAACAGATTGTTCACACAACTCCCATTTCCTTCTAACTAGAAAGAAGCTGGAATAGGTGGTGGGTTCTTAAATCCTTTGTTGGTTAATTGCACTTGTATGTGTAACAAAACTCTTGGGACAAAATAGTGGAAGGAGACCACTTGGGTGCAGATTTCTTTTCTACCCAGTAACTTGGTGTGAAACACTAGAACCACTGTTCTTTTGTTTTGTTTTGTTTTGTTTTGTTTTGTTTTTTTATCCTCACCCGAGGACATTTTTCGATATTTTGTTCAGATAGAGTGAGAGGGGGAGAGAGACAGAGAGAGAAACATCGATGTGAGAAAGACACATCGACTGGCTGCCACCCGCACAACCTCAACTGGGGTCAGGACTGCGACCCAACCAGGGCTGGGGACAAACTGCAACCAAGGTACGTGCCCTTAGCAGGAACCGAACCTGGGACTCTGATCCTCGGGCTGATGCTCTAACCGCTAAGCCAAACCGACCAGAGTGCCTTTTTTATCTTAATAAAATTTGCCTAGAGCAGACATTTACAGGAGTCTACTCTTGGGTTTGGAAATGCTGGAGGTTTTTTTTTTGGTGTGTTGTAGCCATTAATTTTACTAACAATTTGTTTCTCTGTCCCCAGTGCAAGAACTATATCAACCAGTATTCTGACATTGCTATCCAGTTGATGATGCATATGGTAGGTGGTGGGGGAAGTTCCTCATTAGCATTTTTCTTTATCTCTAACTGTAATTTACAGGGATTTTGAAAAGTATGTGGTTTAGTTTTTCTTATTTATCTTTGAGTACTAAATTGAGCCACAATGAGCTCAGCTGACTCTCCACCTAAGTGAACCACCTGCAGCTCACGACCTCCCCTTACCTTTCCTAGCCTAGCCCACACCGCTGTGCTGGTGCCCTCTGGTGGTTCATTTGCCTGTGCATATGTGGGCTGGCCATCAGATTGCTAGCATTTGGCTTTTACCCTGGACCTCTTGGCGATAGTCTTGGTCTGTAGCCCGAGAATTGCCATGTTGCAGCCTGAAATCCGAGGAGGGGAGACCCCTGCCTCCTAGGGCTGGCCCTGCACTCTGCAGCAGTGTTAGCTTGCGTGAGTCCGCAGCTCGCTCACCCGCCTCTGCTGTGTCCCAGTGGGAGGGGCGTCCCTTCCTCATTAGAGACAGAAAGTGTGGTCGGCTGCCCAGCTCCACACAGAAAACTCGTACAGAGCAGGGTGGTCTGGAGCATCATTCCACTGGGGACATGCTCTGGCTTCCTGAGGCCTAATCTGCAGGGTTGGAGGGTTGAGTTGCACTCTTTTCTTTCTGTCATGCTTGCTTCTCATTATGTTGAGATGGGTCTGCAGTCCTTGAGTTTATTCTCTGACCAGGGGCTGTTTTTGTAGTTTTATTGGAACACAGCAATGTCCATTTTGCACTGCGGCAGCAGAGTTGCGTAGTGGAGACCTTAATGCCCCCAAGGCCTGAAAGGTTTACTCTCTGGCCCTGCTCCAACCACGCAGGACTCCAGTCACAGTAGAGGTTATTTGGATTATCACTCATACCTCATCTTGTTCTGAGGCAGCTTACAAAGACATGCCGTTAGAGTAGGAAAAAATAAGCTTTGATGTGACTTGATCTAATTAATGTTTCCTTATATAGCTTACTATAGAGATATTTGTCTCGTAAAAATTATACTGCATATAAATTCTTTGAAAATGTGGATAATACTTCCCAAATTAAAAATCATTTGGGGTTTAAAAAAAGTCACTGGGGTCATATTTTATATACTACTTCAAATTTTGTAGTTTGCATTTTTAATCTAAAATGATATTGGTCATTAAATATTTTGTACAAATGATTTTTAAGTGACTACATAATATTTCACTGTGTGACTGGAATAATCAGTCCCTGTGGCTGGGTATTTAGATTGTGTTCAGGTTTGCCCTTGGAACAAAAAGCATGATGAACATTCCTATGGCCAAACCCTGTTTTCCCCCTTAGTGTATAGATAATTAAAACTGGAATTACTGAACCAAAGGGCAGTTTTTTGTTTTTTTTTATTAATCCTCATCCAAGGACATTTTTCCATTTTTTGTACAGATAGAGTAGGAGGGAGAGAGAGGAAGAGAGAGAGAGGGAAACATCGATGTGAAAGGGACACATCGAGTGGCTGCCACCCGCACAACCAACCAGGGCCGGGGACAAACTGCAACCGAAGTACGTGCCCTTAGCGGGAACCGAACCCGGGTCTCTCCGGACCGCAGGTGGACGCTCTAACCGCTGAGCCAAACCGGCCAGGGCCAAAGGGCAGTTTTTGATACGATGTCTCACCGTCTCCTGGGCTGGCCTTTGGCCCCTGGGAGTAGATTGCTGGAGGGAGACCTGGGCAGTGGAGAGTGTGGCTCGGGTCCCTCACTCCAGGTGTATTTTATAGCACACACCTCTAATTGGGCATCCCTGTGTCTTGTTTCATTTTGCTGCTCAACACCAACCTGAGGGGAGGGCCTTGCAGGTGTGGGGTTAGGCTTCTGGGATGGAGAGCCCTTCATAATGTGGCCTTTTCTGGGAGCCTGCTGCCGAGTGTTGAGAACCTGATTTGGTGTGTCAGGACGTGGGGGCGGTCACATGAGCTGGAGAGAGTGGCCTGTTCATCAGGGAGGCCAGAGTGGCTGCAGGGTCTCTGTGCACTCAGTAGTAGGAACAAGGTAGGTGGCTGATCTGTGACTGCAGGGAAGGTTCCCCGAAACTCGTGGTGATGCCCTACACCTGGTTAACTGCTTGATTGTTGTTGTTTTGACTTTTTCTTAACTGTTGTGTCCTTTCCTTTCTCTCATTTTTACCTCCGATTTCCTGGTTTTTGTTCAGCAGCAGGATCAGGTATGTGGTGGGGTTGCTTGTAGTAGCGGTCTGCTGCTGCCTATAGCTCCTGTGCTGCCTGTTTGTACGGCAGGGTCCCTTCGGCGTCATCAGCTGGCGGCGAGCTTCTGCACCTCTTCTCCGATTCCACACCTGAGCTGTTGGGTGCCATCTCCCCTTCAGGGGCCAGAAAACAAAGCCAGCAGAGCTTCACACTGGGCCAAATCACTGCCCAAGTGGGCCATATGCCAGGCCCCCAGTGTGATGCTGGGGAACCATGGGTGGTCCTGGAGATCCCTCAGCTTCCCGCACTGTAGGCCTGACTTCCGGTGGGACCTTGTTTCCGGCTTGACTGGAGAGCACTGCATGTCTTTAGGCCTGTTTTCCGTAACCCCAGGAATGCTTCTCCTGCATGAGCAGATCACTTACAAATAGTGAGCAGACTGTTACCTCGTCTGCTGGATCCAGAGCATTGGAAACAATCTCTTGATTGCGGCTTCTGCCTCCCCGGTGATGGGGTTCTGCGGGTTGCGGAGCCACATCAGACAGCCTGAGAGCTATGCCGCCCATGGCGAAAAGGGGGCACGGAGCCATCAGACCAGACTGATGGAGCCAGGTGCCCTTTGGTGCCGTACTGAGCATTGCCTCCTTCTGAGCACTGGAACTGGGGATTTTTCAAAGGTTTTTTAAATCTAGGGGGAGAAGACTTTGGCTGAAATATCTGAATTTTCACTTAAGCCACCTCATGGAGCAGAACAAAGCTGATCTGAGACGAAGCAGCCACACCTCCTGAATCTGTCTGTTTTCTAAAAAGCTTGCTATATCCTGGCCACATTTTGTTATCTCTCCGTTCTTAGTGTGCCACAGACAGGCTGCTTCAGACACACTTTCAAACTCCTCCAGCCTTAATTCTAGAGCCTTCTTGGTATTAAAACAAGATGAACCATAGCCATGGTCTAGCTCTCTTCCCGTAACCGGTCTCGTTTTTAGCAATCCTGCTCCCGGTGCTTCATGGTTTGGTGGTGGGAGGCAGATGCCATCAGACCCAGAGCTGGTGGCTGGTTGCATTTGGTTTACAAAGTGTGCAGAGTATGTACAGTCCTTGCTCCTGGCTACCGATAGTGAAATGGTCAAGAATTTGCCTAAACTACCTAGTTCTCTGTGGTTTGGTGTGTGGTTGGGAAAGGGGTTCAATCTGGTGACTTGAAAAGATTTATTAATTTGGGTGACTGGGTTTTGTGTTTGTGCAATTGTGAACATAGAATGTGGTTTTTATCAAAGCTAACATTTCCCTCTAATGCATAATTTTAAATGGTCTTGCCATTGAATGATTCGGTGTGGTTTTATTTCTAACACATTCGGCTGTTAGTGTATGAGCACAGTAGTTCCTCCTCGAGAGAGAACATAGAGCTTCCTTCCTTCCCCCTGAGCTCGACTGGAAGCAGGTTGTAGAGCAGACCAGTGCACGGAGATGGCTCATCGCCCATTAGAGGTGTGGGAGTCTTGCTTCCCTGGGGTGCTCCCTGGTTGGAGCAGAGATAGCGGTTCTGTCTGATCTCCCCCAGAGCTGTGTGTGGCCTCCTTCCCTACATGAAACTGGTCCCTCTGCAGTTGCGCAAGCTCCTTTAATGTGGAATCTTTATGATGTCAGCCCTTGACATTGGGGCCAGGGTGCTCCCCAGGAACCCTGCCTTTAGGCATAGAGAGGGGCTTAGGGGTGGTGGGTGCAGGCCTGCATCTGACTGCTTTTTCTGGACTCTCTTCAGCAACCCAAGGAGATCTGTGGACTGGTTGGGTTCTGTGACCAGGTGAAGGAGATGCCCATGCAGCCTCTGATCCCTGCCAAAGTGGTCTCGGAGAATGTCATCCCTGCCCTGGAACTGGTGGAGCCCATTAAGGTACCTGGTGTTACTGTTCTGTGCTTGCCAGCGCCATATTGAGCACGCTTGTTTCCTTGGTTATGAATTTATTCGAGATCATTTTTCAGTGCCTGGCTCGAACCTAACCCTCTATAATGTGCTCTCTGTGACCTTCCCCACACAGTAGCCATAGTACAAACTTTGTATTTCCAGGACACGCGTGGGCTTGTACAGAAGCCCCTCTGGTTGTGCTGTCTACACGCACGGGTGTCTGTCGTATTGTACTTGGAGAGCCTCCTTTATTCCATAGTCAGCTTACATTCTGCACATCCTGTGGGTCAGGCCATGTTCTAGAGACTGAGGCCTAGAACAGCCCACCTGCAGTGGTGAATACACTTGTCCTTGTGTTCATGGGGCCTGCAGTCTAATTCTCAAGGGCTCTGGCCACATGATGTCTTAGCACATGGCACATACATACACATACTTCTTGTTCCAGAACTTCCATGTCATTCTCCTTTAGCTGACTGGTCTTCCTCGGCTGTCTTCTCTCAGCAGGTTAGTGTGTGGACCAAGGAAGGGCTAAGGTGTCAGATAGAGTTAGGCAAACACTGCTTTCGTCCTGTCGAGATGCTGGTAGGTCCTGGCCCACCTGCCTGACAGAGTTAGTGGTCAGAGGAGATGGAGAGGTACAGCTTGCATTCTAGTCACATGACTTAAATGTAAACCAAAAAAAAATTCAGGCCCTGGCTGGATGGCTAGGCTGGTTGGAACATTGTCCTCTGCACAGGGGTTGTGGGTTCAGTTCCTGTACAGGGCACATACCTAGGTGGCAGGTTCGATCCCTGGTTGGGGTGTGTGCTGGAGGTAACAGATCGATGTTTCTCTCCCCCCCAATCCCTTTCTCCCTCTCCCATCCTCTTTCTAAACATATCTTTGGGTAAGGATTTTTTTTTTTAATTTAGTTCATTGGTGACAGCTCAGTAGAGACGTAGCTAGTGACGGCTATGTGACAGTTGACAGGGAGAGAGGATGTTCCTGTTGTCACAGAAAGGCCTATTCGGCAGTATTGCTTTATCAAAGGCAGGCTCTAGAAAAGCAGCTTCAGGCGTTGACGAGACTTGAAACTCCAGAGCAGACAGACCTGCAGTGGGTGTGAAACTGGCTTCTCAGTAGTAGTGACTCCTTGCTTTGTGCCCGTCCCCCTCCCCCGACAAACGCTGACGGGTGATACAGGTGTGAGCGCACAGCCGCGCATGGGCAGATTGGGGGGCCGTTTCTCTGCTTTCACTGCAGCAGGAGTTCCTGGACGTTTTCACCGAACTATAATTCCTGGTTTCGGGGGAGTGCGGTGAGGGTGAGGTGGTGGTGGCAGAGGGTTGGCGAAAGGGCTGGGTCTCCCACATCATAGAAACGAGGGACTGGAACTTAGACACTGGGAGGGAGCCACACATCATTTTGAATTCAGTAGAAAGTGGCCCTTTGTGGTATTAATCTGTCCTTGGCCTCTGTGTCCCCTCTTCTTTAGAGGAGCAGGACCAAGGGGTGAAGTGAAGGTCTCAGCATTCAAGTGTTCTCCTTTTACCCTCTTGACAGAAGGACCTGGTCCAGGCCAAGTCTGATGTTCCCTGCGACTTGTGTGAGTACGTGGTGAAAGAGGTGGTCAAGCTGATGGACTCCAACAAGACTGAGGTGTGTGGATTTCCGGAACCTGCCTTCCTGGCAGAGGGGGGAGCTCTCCTGTCTCTCTTGAGCTAGAATGGCTTAGTGGGAGAGCCCTGCAGGAGAGGTGGGCTCTGCCCTGCACCCCAACCTGGGAATCTGCATCCCCACTTCCCACCGGTGGGTCGCTTGGGCTGGGGCTGGAGGAGGCCACTTTGCCCTGCTTTGTAGCTCTCGACTTGTGCAGGAGGAAGCAGCATCTTGCTGTTGACTGGTTTCCTGATCATGTTAGTATTTCAGAATCTCTCCCATCCTGACCCAGCTTTCCATCATCCCACATGGTCCTCTTGTGTTTCAGGAAGAAATAATTCATGCTTTGGATAAAGTGTGCTCAAAACTGCCCAAATCCCTGTCCGAAGAGTGCCAAGAGGTGGTAGACACGTACGGCCGCTCCATCCTGTCCATCCTCCTGCAGGAGGCGAGCCCCGAGCTGGTGTGCAGCATGCTCCAGCTGTGCTCCGCCCAGGGGCTGCCCGCACTGACTGGTGAGCGGGCGAGCGAGGCCGCTGGCCCTCGGGGGGTGGGAGGCCCTGCTGGCTCTGAGCCCGTGCTCTCTCGCACAGCACACGTGACTCAGCAGAAGGACGGTGGCTTCTGTGAGGTGTGCAAAAAGCTGGTTGGCTATTTGGACAACAACCTGGAGAAGAACAGCACAAAGCAGGAGATCCTGGATGCTCTTGAGAAGGGCTGCAGCTTCCTGCCTGACCCGTATCAGAAGCAGGTACGCCCTGGGCTGCCTTCTGCCGGAATCCGAACCTGCCTGGGGAAGCAGAGGCTGAGTGTTCACTGGTTGTACCCTTGACCGTTTCGAAGCCACTTCTGCCTGTAGGCATGGAGTCCAGTGCAGTTTTCTCAGAGGCTGTCTGTTGGCTCAAATGGAGCCACTGGGGAAAGTGACAGAAGCAAGTGAGGCTGAGTATGGGTGGGGCGTCTGGGGCCACTGGGCTGGCAGAGGCAGGAATTCTTGTAGAAGAGCATGTCCAGCTCCCCTCCTTTTAGGTCCCCACTCTGCTTGGGCATGTCTGGACCCGGACCCCTGTCCCTGTTTACTTCACAGTGTGACCAGTTTGTGGCCGAGTATGAGCCCGTGCTGATAGAAATCCTGGTGGAGGTGATGGAGCCGTCCTACGTGTGCTCGGTGAGCTCTGCCGTGTGGACCCTGGAAGGGCTCCTCTGAGGTTTGGGGCCATGGGCCAGTCACTGGGATGGGGCGTGGGAGAGCCACGAAGGAAGAGCCAGGCTTCCGGGCCCCACCTCTGTACTGGGCAACCCCGATGTTTTCTGATAGTGCACATCAGAGCTCTGATTCTAGCTGCTTCTAGAAACTGATAATCTCAGTTCTGAAAAGGGTTGGTTTGGTAGGTCTCATTCTTCCCTCTTTGCCCCTTTCCCACCATGTAGAAAATTGGAGCCTGCCCTGCAGCCCGTAAACCTCTTTTGGGGACAGAGAAGTGTGTCTGGGGCCCCAGCTACTGGTGCCAGAACATGGAGACAGCAGCCTCGTGCAACGTGAGTAGCTCGGCAGCGGTCCCGGGCCTGCCTCGGCAGGAGCTCGCTGGCCGTGCACACACCGGGCGAGAGAGGAAATCGGGCTGACTCATGGCGGCCCGGCCAAGGCAGGGCTAGCTGTGTTCTTGTCTTGAGGAGGGAAGGGTAGGGGTAATATTCTTTCCTTTTTTCTGCTTTCTTGCTTTCGCCTCCAGTCCCCTTTGAAAGGGTCAGATTTGCACGCAGTACCCCAGGGATTGCACAAGGCCTGTTGGAGTCATTGCCCTAATTCTTGCATGAGTCCTCATGCCGCTCGGGGGTCACTTTTGCCCTCGCTGGAGCCTGGCCTGAATCTTCACCCAAGGCCAAGCAGAGCTGTTGTAGAAAGGCCGTGAGAGTTGGCACCTGCCCTATAGCCCCAGGGTGCTGTGACACCATCCTGGCTGGGTGGCCAACTATTGGGTAACCCGCGCTGGCTGTTTTCCTGGGTGGGGATGTTTGGACCAGCCTCTGTTACTTCATGTTCTTTTGCGCAACTTTTTCTTCCTCGTGAGAGTTCCTCCAGTCAGGGGGCCTGACTGCTGGTTTGGGGGAGGTTGCATCATTTTGGGCCACCGTAGGGAGGGGTGGTGAGGCCCATCCTGGCCGTGTCCAGCTCCTTCCTCCAGCCAGGCCCCAGCCCATAGGGCATTAGTGGTGGAACAGGCTTTTGCCACTGTCCCGGGTAAATGGGGGTAAATGGGCCTGTGCTGGTGTGCACCCTGACTCCCGGGAGAGGTGTTCTGCCTTGGGGGCCTCCAGTGCAGCCTGTCAGCTGATGCTGGGGTCTGGGCATGGGACTGGACAAAGGGGTCCTGGGCCCTACCTGCATGGGTGCTTTGCACCTCTGCTCTGGGTCACTGAGCTGCCGCTGTCCCGGGTCTTCAGCATCTGCTGCCATCCAGCTGACCTGGGTCAGGATTAACGGGCTCCATTTGGGGTGATGTCTGATGCATGAATGGGCCAGGAATGGAGTTTGTCATCTGGAAAGTAACCTGGTTTTTTCTCTCCTGTCAGGCTGTCGAGCATTGCAAACGTCACGTGTGGAACTAGAAAGAATGTTCCATCTTGGAGAAACCACAGCATCTTTTCCTACTTCTGTGTCTGGGGGAATGAGCACAGATCTATGGACTCTGTTATAAAAGCAGGCCCCCTTTCCCCATGCCGTTTCTTATCCCCTTGTAGCATTGCTGTCAGCGCAGGTGCCTGCCCGCTGACAAACCGCTTCAGTGCCCTTTCCTTCTGCCACGTGCAGGGTGACGTGCTGCGCCCTGGAGGGCTTTCAGCCTGCCCTGCATGGCGGTGACCTGGGGGTGGGGCTCTGACTGGCAGCAGCCAGAGCGGCTTCACAGAAGGCCACTGTCCTCTTGGCGGGGGCTTCTGAGACCCCTGCCTACCCTAAGGAGGGACATCTGTCTCCCCCTTCCTGGGCCTCTTGGCTGCTAAACAAAGAAGCAAAACAAAGGCGGCTTTTATATAAAGATTAGAGGCTCAAAATAGGCTTTTCACACAGTGTAGTGTGCACTGAAATAGAGGGGGAGCGGCTGCTTGGGAGACCTGGGTGGGTTTGGGTTCGCTGCCGCTGGGTCGGCCTTTGACCCAGCTTCCCCTTGTCTGTCCTGGTGATGCCTTGTTTAGGGCTGTGGGTTTGGGTGGGAGGGGAAATCCACCTGAATGCAGCCTCGTAGCTCTGGAGGACCTGCGGGCCTGGCTTCTGTGTGTGGACCGCCGCATGCCTGCTCTTGTTCTGCCCGGCTGAGGCCCGCTCTGGGCCTCTGCACGCCGCCCGGGCCACCCCTGCCCTGGCAGTCACAGCCGTCCCGACCCATTTCGTGGGTGTTCCTTTTGACCTTGAAATAAATGTGGAGGACAAGCTCCTAAGCCTCTGGCTTCCAGGTGGAGGGCTGCTGGGTGTGCTGTTCAGGGGCGGCTGCTGCCCTGCTCGCTGTCTGGTTGGCTGCTTTGCACGTCTGGTTGTCAGGAGACGGCAAGACCTGCAGTCGCCATTAAATGGACTTAACGATTTTTTTGTTTTGCACTAAAGTTTCTGTGATTTAACAATAAAGTCTGTCAATCAGGTCTGAGTGTTGCTGTGCTGCCTCGGCCAGAAATTTGGTTTCTGATGCGCTCCGCAAGGCCATGGCCTGTGAGTGCCCAGCAGCCCTGTGGCAGCTCTTAGTCGGGGGCAGAAAGCAAAGTGGGCAGAGAAAGTCCTCCCGGGTCCTCCCCGAGCTCCCAGGGCTGCCGCCCCCTCGCCCCCTCACCCCCTCCCTTGGCCAGCCACGCAGGCGGGTCACCAGAGCAGACTGCCAGTTCTCGGGACGGGCTTTTCTTTTTAAAATGCAGACCATTCCAGAAACGTTCGGGGAGTACCAGTGAAACAGACCAAGGGGAACATATTGAGGGAATAACTTAATTTAAAAAGTAATACACACAAACACTACATTCAAAACCCAAGGGAACATCAGTCATTTCTCTTCGTGAGCCAGGTACATTGGGGAAGCCAGTGGAATGGAGAGAACGAGGTTTGTGATAATAACCTTGTCCATGTGGGGAGGCAGGGATCACTCACTGTGTCCACCTGCTGTCCCGTCGGACGAGGCAGAAATGCAGTGAGAACTGAACTGAAATCGGAGTCAAGGCCAGGCAGGGGACCGGCCCGGAGGGGGGGGGGGGGGGGCTGCTTGGCCGTTCTCAGCTCAGCCTCGACTGAGTTGGTCCTTAAATTCCTGGTCCCCCAGTGATGCTCCTTACCTCATCCTCAGACACTTAACATTTTTGTTTGGTTTTCCTAAAAAAATAACAAATTTTATGAAGGTAGAGATCAGATGCTGAATGAGTGCCTGGCAGAGTGGAATCGGCTGCTGATGGGCAGGCTGCAGCCACCGGACCAACCCAAGGTCATGGCCAGGGTACCCTGAAGGGGCCCACACCCCACGGTCCAGTGAGGCTCCCCCGTCTAGTCATAGCTCTGTGATCTCCAGGGGGCTCTCCATGATCACATCTCGCAGCTTGTGCAGGGGCGTCGATTTGGCGGACTCCGTGCGGGCGTTGCGCTCCAAGGCACTAGCCTCAGCAGCCGTCAGCGTCTCCAGTGAGCGGCCCAGGCCCTTCTGGTCATCCTCGGGCAGGCTGTTGAGGTCAGTGGCCAGGAGTGTGCCCGTGCTGCCGTGCACCATGTGGATTCCATCGGGCCCCTTGAGCTCCGGAGGCGGCTTGCAGAAGCGCAGGCTGCCCTGGCCTGGGCTGCGCTCCCCTGGCTCCTCCAGCTCTGTCTGGATCAACTGCAAGAGTCCAGGACCCCCCACGTGCTCAGGGCCACGCCCTAGGGGTGAGCAGGTGGAGGCCCCACAGTCCTACCTGCTCTGTGCCTGTTTCCTCCCCACGGCACACAAGGGACCCGGGGCTCGGGATGCAGCAGCCTGTCCAGCCTCTACCAGTGTTTCTCAAGCTGGGTACAAAGGGGAACCATGGATACTTAACGGTGCTGCAGTTGTATTCTCAGGGGTACGGGCTTCCTATGAGTTGAATTTTGTGTATTGACTTTAACTATAAAAATCCTGTGATGCAACTGTAGCATCTGGGTCAAGTTGGCCTCATGCAAAGTTAACGCTCGTGGCCAGGTCCAAAGTGTCCACAGGTGGAGTTGGAGGGGACTAATAGGGTGAAGTGGGGACTCAAATGGAGCTTTTATTCTGCGTGGAACTCAGCCCATTTCACTTGAGAATGTTGGCCCCACTGGTGATCTGGGTTTTTAGATAAAGGCTGGCTTTTTAAAGTGTTGACATATCACTGCAAGCAAGCAAACGTGTACCTATTTGAACCTACAGCCAGTTTCTTCACATGACATCACCCCTTAAGGGTATTTTCTTGGGGTTCCTCAAACCTGAAAACACTTCCTTGTGCCTACCAAGTCCCGGGAAGCCCACTGCAGAACCCTGAAAGCCCAGTGCCTCCCTGTACCCCTGCCCAGTGCTCTCTGGTCCCGGCTGCTGAGCTCCAGAGACCCTGAGGAGGCTGAGGGCAGCAGGAGAGCGAGAGAGAGAAAGCACCCCCAGGGCTGGGGCACGGCACACAGCTCCCCTGCCCTCCCGGCTACCTCGGAGATGGAGGAGTGGCAGGAGGAGGCTTTTTGCACCATCCGCTGTGCAAAGAGCTTTTTGAGCCGCAGGTAATCCTCCAGGACCACCTTCAGCAGCGAGCCCTGGGGAAGGGAGAGGGTTAACCCCCACCACAGCCCTCCCCAACTCCCCAGCCCACGCTCACTCCCGTGAGGTGATGAACAGTGACTGGTCTGGGAGGCACAGGCCTCTCACCCCAGTGTAGGGGGTCAGGAGCAGAGCCTGGTGAAGGCACCCTGGTCCTACGAGCAGCACAGACTGAAGCAGCCCCTGATCAGCCCCAGTGCCCAGGATCCTCTTTGCCCTGTGTTCTTGCCCCAGTGGAGGGCAGGTCTAGCTGCTCCTGAGGTGGAGAAAGCCGTTCCCCACTCCCTGCATCCTCTGGAGCAGATCCAAGCTTAGCCGAGGGTCTGGGGCAGGCTCTGGGGCGGGTCTGTGGGAAGGGCTCACCTTGATGGGCCCCTCCCGAATGATCTGGCCCAGCTTGGCGATGTTGTCATACTCCTGGATGGCTGCCCGCAAGTACCGGTCTTCTTCAGGTTTCACCGCTGCTGGTTCACGCCCAAAAGTTCCCTGGGGAGGGAGGATGCTAGCTGGACCAGAGGTAGACTGCACGCACACACGTACGCACGCACACACGCGCGCACGCGCGCACGCACGCACGCACGCGCGCGCGCACGCACACACACGTACGCACGCACACGCGCACGCACGCACACACGCGCGCACGCACACACGTACGCACGCACACACGCACGCACGCACACACGCGCGCGCGCACACACGCGCGCACGCACACACGCGCGCGCACACACACGCACACACGTACGCACGCACGCACACACGCACGCACACACGCACGCACACACGCGCGCACACACGCACACACGCACGCACGCACGCACACCCGTAGGGGACTACCTCCTAGAAAACCCGGCGCCTTGGCCAATGCTGGCTGAGACCTATCCTACCTCTACCCCGTTCCTCATGGACACCCACCCCTGCCCTGGCTCTGGCCCTGGCTCACGTGGGTGCGGGTGGGGCTGCTCCACAGGTCAGCGATCTCACTCAGGTTCTCTGGCAGATCGTCCTCATGCTCGGCCTGGGCGGCCAGTTCCAGGTTCCGGCAGAAAGGATCCAGCCATACTGGGTTGGCCCTGCAGGTGGGGGTGGGGGGTGGGTGAGGATGGAAGGCTTGAGTGGACAGATGCCCTCCAGCCTCACCCCTCACCCCTTCCGGTTTCCCTGGCCAACTGTACTGTCTTTCACAGAATGAGGGTGAGAAGCCATAAGTAAGTCCCGTGCCTATGGCACCTGTGGGTGTGTCCTCCCCTTAGGATCCCACTAGAACAGGATAGGACATGTCAATCTGATGAGTTTGGGCTTGGAAGCCTCACTCTGCACCCACTGACCAAAGTCAACTTCCCCATCCAACTTGGGGCCTATCAAGGGTGGGGTGCCCAGGTTAGTGACATGGTTTCGGAGGGTGGAGAGAAAGGGGTGGCTGACCCACCAGGGGGCGCCCACACCCCAGGTTTCAGCCAGTGTTCCCTCACTGCAGGGGAGGCAGCAGGGAAGTCTCCACCCCAGCTGGATCCTTGGCAGGCCTTCCCAAAGTGCTCCAGGGCTCAGGGCCCCACTCACCCATCAAAGGAATACTTGTTGGTGTTGGGCATGTCCATGATGTCGATGAAGCCTCGATTCCCTGCAGGGAGCGGTTGGGGCATGGAGGGGAGGGGGCCACTCTGCTGGGGCCTGGTGAGTTCCCCGGGAGCCCCTCCTGCCCTCCAGCCTCCCCGCCGGCCCATCGCAGCCCTCGCTCACCTGCGGAGCCAGCCACTATTGCTTTGAGTTTCCTCTTGTGTCTGGAGAGAAGCAGAGAAAGATGCTGGTGAGGGAGGCTGGGACTGGGCTGGCCTCTCAGAGCACTGCCTGCCTCCTTATCTATCCAGGGAGCAGGGCTGGTCAGCCAGCCTCGGGGCATGGGCAAAGGTCACTCACACGGTCCGGTAGTACCAGTTCATGAGGATGAAGAGCATGGCAGCCAGGAAGAGGAGGATGGCCAGGACAATGATCGCCATCTAGGGAAACAGGGCCAGCTGTGAGCGGGCGAGAGCACTCGGGGTGGCAAGGGGCTGGGGAGCAGGCGCCCCAGGGGTACCTGCAGGGCAGACATGTCATCGGGCAGCTGGACAGAGATGGCTGGCTGCACGTCCAGGACGTTATAATTCCGGAAAAGATTCCGCAGCTGCTCCTTGTTCTCGTCGATCATCTGGATCACCCTGGGCAAGGGGCAGAAGCCGCAGCTCCCATCCTAGCCATCGCCCAAGAGTGCACCTCGCTCAGGCCCGTCTGCCCAGTTCTTGCTTTGGACCCCTAATATTCACCTCCCGCAAGATTTGCAAGATTAAAGCCCACCCAGCTAGGATGGCTCTGTATCTTATAGGTCACCATCCCTTCATGCAGGATCCTGTTTGATCCTCACAATCGGAGTAATACTCCCATTTTACAGATGGGGAGAGTGAGGCTCAGAGGGGAGAGCTCTGCTCATACCCACAAACGGTTCTCCCTACGAGCCCCGCCAGCCTCCTGGGGACAGTGCCATACGCAGGCATGACAGTGCTGTCTATGCTTCTGTTGGTGGGTCCCCTCCCCGACTCCACGGCAGGGAGGCAGACCGACATTCTGAGCACAGGCCCCCACCCACCGGTCCACGTCCAGGATGCGGTTGGTATCTCGGTTCACCACATGGATGAGCAGCTCCGTCTGTGCGAAGTTCACCCGGCCCTTCTTATCCACGTGGAACTAGGCAAGAAGGGGCATTATAGGGTGTGACAGGTACAAGGGCTGGGCTGGGCAGGCCTCTTCTCGGAGTCCTCCTGCCTTGTCTTAACAATAAACCTATCACTACCGAGTGCTTCTGAGGACCCAGCACGATACCCGTCACTTCATGGCACTGAGCAGGGCACTATTATTAGCCCCATTTTACAGATTAGGAAACTGAGGCCCAGAGACCTGGAAGGACTTTCTCAGGACCATGCAGGGAGGTAATGATTGAGGGGCATATACCCCTTTTCATCCCCCTGACCTCTTCACGATGCCCTGTCCCCCCTTGTGGCCGAGTCCCCCTTCTCCCTCTACTCCCCCCAGCCCCAGGGTGGGTTCCGCGGGCACCTGCACATCGTCCGTGTTGACAATGGCACCCGTGATGTTGGAGAGCAGGCGGATGAACTCCTCCTCAAAGCCACGCACACGGTCGGGAATCTCATTGATGACGACCTTGACGCGCTGGTCATCCCTCAGGATGTAAATGCCGATGATAGCTGTGTCATTGTGACCTGCCAGGTCCCGGGCCACAACGTCTACCACAAAGTAGCCGGGACTGTAGGCCATGAAGAGGTCGAAGGTGCGCAGGATGCCATCCACACTCCCTGCAGGGAGAGCGCATGGGTGGGGAGCAGCTCGGGGGACATTCAGTGCCCCAGAATCCCCGGGGCAGGGGTGAGGTGCAAGGGCAGGTGACACACCTCCAGGGAGGCAGCACGGGCCTGCAGCAACGGGACCCAGATGACTGCAGAGCCCCCTTGGCTGACTGCTGTGTGTGTGTGTGTGGGGGGGGGGTTCTGTGCTGCTCCCCTTCTAGAGATCCTAGTGAGCTCTCCTGATTGCTAACTGTCGACCTCAGTTCTTATTCACACGTTCTGCAGATTAAACACTGTGGGGTGTGCTGGCCCAGGAACGATGAGTTTGGGAATCTGGTGTCCCCTGCTGGGGTCCTTCTGAGCCTCCTCAGTGTCTGTCTGTCTCTCTCTTCGCACGTATTGCAGAATTTGAAAGTAGAGAGGTGAGCACAGGATACAGCCCGTCTTCTCTTAGCAGATGGTAGACACGGGTTTAAAATTTGCCCCTTTCTAGCTGTGTGAACTTTCGCTACTTAGCCCCTCTGTGTTTCAGTTGATTAAAATAAGAACAGTAGGAAGTCAGAGGACAAAGGGATGGTGTCTGGTTGTGTGGCTGGAGAAGGTGGCATATGAACTAGATTTTTTATTTTATCCTCACTCGAGGATATGTTTTTTAATTTTTAAAAAATGTTTTTATTTTTTATTTTTTTAGAGAGAGAGGAAGGGAGTGAGACAGAAACATCGATGTGAGAAACATCAATCGGCTACCTCCTGCATGTCACTCACTGGGGATCAAGCCTGCAACCCTGGCATGTGCCCTGACCGGAATTGAACTGAGACTTCTCAGTTTATGCTCAATTTACTGAGCCACACTGGCAGGGCTGTTTTTTAATTTAAAATTTTTTTTTTTTAATTTTAGAGAGAGAGAGAAATATCAATGTGAGAGAGAAACATCCATTGGTTGCCTCCTGTATGCACCTCAGTCGGGGATTGAACCCGCAACCTAGGTATGTGCCCTGATTGGGAATCAAACCCACAATCAGTGGAGCCACCCGGCCAGGGCTGAACTAGACGCTGAAGGATGGTGGGGAGAGCACATCCGAAGGCAGAGGTGAAGGTCAGGAGGGGGAAGCCAGAGTGGAGGGGCGGGACGAGCCCCGGGGGGGTGCTGCGGAGCAGGCTGCAGGAATGGCGAGCAGTGCAGCATGGCCGGGCACAGGGCATAAGGGGAGCAGGGGTGAGAACCAGCGGGGGACTGGGAGGAAGACCTCGTGACCCTTGAAGCCAGGCCAAGAAGTCTGGATTGACTCCTGCAGACAGAGAAGAGCAGGGAAGGGGTTGGGGCTGAAAGCAAGGTAATGGGACACCCACTGGGACCTTCTAGAATCTAACCCAGAGAGGCTCAGCCACCCACACAGGGAAGTACACAAGCAAACACGCACACTTGTAGGGACAAGTATGCTCTTTGAATTCCTGCTCCCCAGTGCCTAGCACAGTGCCTAACATGGAAGGGTGAGGTGCCCAAATGGAAAGTCAGGTGGATATATGGAGAGGAGAATGGGAAGTGGGTGGATGGATGGATGGATGGATGCATAAATAATGGATGGAGGGGGAAATGGGAAGAACAAGAAAAAAAGGAGTTGCGTGCATAGATGTAGATATGGATAGGTGGTTGAATAAAAGGATTAATAAGTGACAGCTGACTGGCTGAACAGATGAATGATAAATGGACAGGTGAATGAATAGAAGGACTGACTGGCTGGCTGGCTGGCCACCCATATTTTGTGGTGCCCAAATAGACCACCCCCATCTCTTCCAGACTACAGTGCATGCAGTGACAGAGGTCTTGGCTGGAGGCCACCACATGTGACCAGGCCCCTACCCATGGTGAAGACCTGGCCCACATCCTCAGAGTCATTGGCAAAGGCCCGGAAGTAGTGAATGGCCAGGATGCTGTAGAAGACCAGGCTGTTGTTGCCAATGTCTGCATCCAGGGCCAGCACCTGGATCAACTCTGAGCCCATCTTGGCATCAGTGGCCACTCCTGCAGGAATGGGCAGATGAGTGTAAGTGGTAGGGCGGGGGCCACCCCACGCCCCATGCCCAGGCTCCAGTCCCTGCACCTGCAGTATACTCAGCCTTGGTGAAGCGTGGTGGCTGGTCATTGATGTCCTCTAGCACAACGCGCACCTCCTGCAGGGTGAGGTCAGTGACCAGGTCCAGGTATGGTGAGGGCCCACGGGGAGGTGTCCAGCTGCGATTGCTTGAGGCCTTGACAATAAAGGAGAAGAGAGCTTCGCGCTCCCGATCCAGGTCCTTGAGCACCAGCAGACGCCCGTCAGGCTGAAGATGGAAGTTCATCTCTTCGTTCCCAGCTGAAGGTGGGACCATGGAACAGGGTGAAGGGTATGGCCAGGGCAGGGAATACTGGGGTCATCTCCAGCCCCAGGGTAGGTAGGGCTTGAGCCCCGTCAGGCCCCACCTGCGATGAAGTAGTATACGATGGCGTTGGAGCCCTCGTCTGCGTCCACAGCTCCTGTCACGTTGCCCACGAGGGTGCCACGTGGTGAGTGCTCAGGCACGGTCAGCAACTGGTACTGGGGGCTGCCTTTCTGCAAGGGGTAGGGGAGTCCCACACATTGTGAGGTGAGTAGAAAGGCTGTGATCTCAAGGGAGCAAAGCCTGGGCCTGGGAGACCCCAGCTCTGCCCTCATGGACGTCACCCCGTGACATCCTCTATGAGGGCCGGGCTGGGCTTGGCACAGTCTCTCAAATCTCCCAGACAGAATGGGTGTTTGAACCAGGGATCATATGTCTCATATGCACATGAGTGTGCACGCTCATATGTCTCCAGGGAACACCCCATCCCATGTGCACACAAGAAGGAAAACCCACCAAGTCATAGAGTCTGAGTCCACAGGAGGGGCCCAGCTCCAGCTCCACAAAGCAGAGCTGATTTCCAGGCTTCCTGTGTACAGTGTGTGCAGCAAGGAGGTCAGCTCCAGGAGGCAGGCATTTGACAGCTGGGTAGTGATTTGAAATAGCAGTTGCTCAGTGAACCACGTGTGCAACCACGTGTGCACATGGTAAAGGGTGTACAGGGGAATATATGCATGTGTATGCTTGCAGGCAGGGAGTCCCTGTGGGCGTGACCAGTGCAGGGGATGGGTGAGAGCTCACTGGAGGCCTCAGGAAGAGGGGCTCATTGTCGTCGATGTCATCCAGGGCCACCTGCAGCGGCTGCATGGTTTCATAGTGCACTGGCTGACCCAGGTCGCTGGCCACCAGGATTAGCTGGAGGTGGAGGAGCACAGTCAGAGGAGGAGCAAGGGGGTGCCAGAAGGCACTCCTGAGGACCAGGTCACCACGTTCTAGGTGAGGAGGTGGTGGCCCTGCATCCAGAGGAAAGCCTATTCCCGGGCCCCGCCCCTAGAGCCAGGCACCGCCCCCTTACGCTGTACAAGGCCTGCTTCTCACGGTCCAGGCGCTGCGCTGTCTGGATGAGGCCGCTGATTGGGTCAATGGTGAAGTACTCCCAGTCCCGGTTGCCCGTGGTCTTCAGGAAGCTGTAGCGCACAGCCCCATTCAGACCCTCATCCTTGTCTGTGGCGTAGACCTCGTACACGTTGGAGCGCAGTGGGATCTCCTGCAAGGGCATGGTAGAAAGGCTCCTGGGGCATGTGGGAGGATCGCAGCTCCTAGGTCCCCACGGAGCTCTCATTTTTTCTCCTCCTGTAGCAGAGTGTCCTTGACACCTTTTAGCATCCTTAGGAGATGGCTGCCTGCTTAGCCGGACTCTCCTGGAGTATGAGCATCTGCTAGAACGTCTCCTTACCCCACCCCTAGCCAAGGCCACTGCCCATTGATGGTTCATCCTGGGATCTGCCATGCTCCAAACTCTCTCAGGATGACTACCCTTCCAGAGGGCTACCCTCATCCCTTCCACCCCATTGCACGCCAAGGTTTAGAAGAAGGGTCCAAAAGCTGAGGCCACGGTCACCCTCTGGTCCTGGGTCTGCCTTGCTTTCTGCCACCCCAGTCACAGGAGTTCTAGGTATCCCCAAACACCACCATCCACTCAATGGGATATCTAAAAATGGGAGACAGATAGGTAGGGTGACACGGTGGGTGCAGACTAGACCCCTGGGTTCTAGTCTATCACTAATACTATGTGACCCGGAGATGCCACTTCACCTCTCTGAGCTCCAGTCTCCGGAATCCCTTGAGCCCAGTCTAAGATATCAAAAAACCTAACTGATGTCATACATTCATTGACCCATGCATGATAAGCTGCTCAGGGCACAAGCAAAACAAGTTTCTTTGCTTTTAGTTGAAAAATTACCAGCCCAGCATGGTTTCACTGTTTACCTCATTGATCACGATCACTGGAAACTCTGAATGGCAGTTACAGCTAATTAATAGAAAGTGGGATAACAAACAGATAATTACTTAACAAATGCTGGTTGTTTGGGAGACATGAATCTTTCAAAATATGGAGCCCTTGAAGGGAAAAAAATTAGTAAATGGGGCATTTGGTGTGGAAAAGAACTCATTATAAATTTATACCCTGCCTCATTCCACAAAGAGGATTTAAGGCAGTCTATAAAAAAGTATAAATTAAACAAGAGTGAACAAGTTTTTAAAAATCAGGGTAGAGAAAAGAAATGGTTGGCAAAAAAATGGGAACTGAGGAATCGGAGACAAGGTGTGTGTGCTAAGACCCTGCAGGTCCATGCAAGGTGGGCTGAACACTCTGAGCTCCCTAGTGGGCAAAGCAAAGAGGGCCACTCAACATTACAGTAGACACAGATTAAAGCAAGTCGCAATAAAAAAGGTGTTTCCTAAAGCTCAGCCCTGGCAGAAATTTCTTCCATGAGAAATCAAAGAGGAGACAGAGTGAGAACAAGAACTGACTGCTGACATTCTGAGATGCAGAGACATGCTGAAGTTTGGGGAGTGAAGAACAAGTGAGAGACACCCCACATGTACCACCAAGGAACATTTTGGAAGGAGGGAAGGGTAGGAGACAGAGGAAGATTTCTCTATCTTTACAAGGCAATTTAGAGCAAGGGATAAAAGAAGACTTGGAGAGGTTCCAGAAGCTCAGCCACTTCCCCTTGCTTCTTATTTTGATACCCATCCTCAACTCCCAGGCTGTCTCCACTTTGGTATCAGCAGAAACAACAGACAGATGGAAGGGGCCTCTGTGTTTATTTCGAGACAAGTATGGGGGAAGTGGGTTTCCGGGGAGACTGTCCTTTTTGGCAGACATCTAAGAGCAAGAGATGGAGCAGCCATATTATTAGTCCATACTGCAGATGCAAAAACAAACTCAGAGGAGTCACTTGCTCAAGGTACGTGCTAGAGTTAGGCTTGAACCCAAGACCTTCCGCTGACACAGCCCGTATTACTAACCATTCTCAGTACTGCCCTGTGCGGCACTGAATGTCTGTTCCCTTCTCTGGCCTGTTTCCCCACCTTCACAATGGGGCCCAACCTTTCCCCCTCCAAGGCACGCTTGCAGGGTGAAGAAGTGGGCTGGATATTGGGAGGGGCGTGTTGGTAGCAGGAGGCCCTGGGAAACAGCTGTACCTCTCTGATGTGCAGGATGGTGCCGTTGGGGGGGCGCACAAAGACAGGGCGATTGTCATTGACGTCGATGACCTCCACCAGGAGCATGGTCGTGCCCCAGAGTGGGGGCTCTCCACCATCTGTGGCCACCACAGTCAGGTTGAACCTCTCGTAGGAATGCAATGGCCGCTTTGTGGTCACCAGGCCTGAATCCATGTCCACGTGGAAGGCCTCTGCTAGGCGGGGCAGAGAGCAGGGCATGGTTCTGGCTGACCCTCCCCATGGCAGCCTGACCCTCCCACACCCCACTCCCCATGGCATCATGGGTGCGGAGCAGGCTACGTACCCTCGCCAGGGCCCTCAAGTGAGTAGGTCAGCTCCCCATTGGAGCCCTCATCCTGGTCGGTGGCCATCATGGTGATGACGGAGGTGCCCGCTGGTTCATTCTCGTAAACGCTGGTGCTGAACTGGGGCTTGGAGAACTGTGGCCGGCAGTCATTGACATCTAGCACCTGAATCACCACCTGGTGGGAGGTTGAGGTCAAAGGTCAGGAGCACATTAGGGGCTATAAGGCAACCCAGTCACATAGGAGTAAGCAGAGGTGGACAGTGCTCTCTTGGAGTCTGATCTCCAACAATGTATTTAACCTCTGAGCCTCAGTTTCCTTAGTAGAGCTTTGGGGACAATATACCTGGTCTCTCAGGGGCTCATGGGGCCCCGCGATGGCGCAGGCTGTGTTGTGACAGTGTGCGCGCAGCGCCTGGCCTGAGGAAACAGCAGCTAGTCCTGGGATCAGCAGGTGCTCTGTCTGCGCCCTGGAGCAGAGGCACCTCCTACCCTGCCCTTGGCTCCTTCCCTCAGCACCCCACACCTCTCTGCACCGCGATGCTGGGTGGCATGTCCTCGGCCCCGAAGGCCCCCCCTTTTTTTTTTTATCCTCATCCAAGGACATTTTTTGTACAGTTAGAGTGGGAGGGAGATAGAGGAAGAGAGAGAGAGAAACATCGATGTGAAAGGGACACATCGAGTGGCTGCCTCTCACACGACCAACCAGAGCCGGGGACAAACTGCAACCGAGGTACATGCCCTTAGCGGAAACCGAACCCGGGTCTCTCTGGACCGCAGGCTGACGCTCTAACCACTGAGCAAAACTGGCCAGGGCCGAAGGCCCCCACCCCCTTGACTGGGATTTGTATCTGGCCTGGGACTTGGCTCTCTGCTGAGCCCACAGCCCAGGGCGGGTCCCGTGGCCACACCAGGCCAGGAGGCCTCTCCCCCCGGCTGCTGTGACCCTGCCTGGCTGCACCCTCACCAGGGCTTTTCACAGCAGTGACTTTAAGAGCCCCTTTCGGTGCATAAAGCACTTTCCGCCCCCGGCTCACCAAGGGAGCCCGCGTCCTGTGCTTCTCCCACATCCCCACACAGCAGTGGCCCTGTGACCGGGGCCGGGGTTCGGGGTTTGGCTGGGAGTGAGTGCTCCAGACCCTCCCCCCATCTGCTACAGAGAATTTGCCCACCCAGCCTCTCGCCTCCTCACCCAGGAGGGTTTTTTTGGGTGGTTAGGTTAATGTGGGGAGAACTGAAGGCAGAAAGACATGACCAGAAAGGCAGAAAGAAGGGGGAAGGAAGGAAGAGGAAAGCAAAGCCTCGATGAACAGGATTTTGCCCTGGCCGGTTTGGCTCAGCGGTTAGAGCGTCGGCCTGTGGACCAAAGAGTTCCGGGTTTGATTCCAGCCAAGGGCACGTACTTCCGTTATGGTTCGTCCCCGGCCCTGGCTAGGGTCATGCAGGAGGCAACCAACTGATGTGTCTCTCTCACATTGATGTTTCTCTCTCTCTCTCTCCCTCCCACCCTGTCTGAAGATAAAATGTAAAAATATCTTCAGGTGAGGATTAAAAAGAAAAAAAAGGAATAGGATTTTGGGTAGAAATAGGGTAGAGCTTTGCCCTGGCCGGTTTGGCTCAGCGGTTAGCACGTTGGCCCGCAGACCAGAGAGGCCCGGGTTCGGTTCCCGCTAAGGGCACATACATCAGTTGCAGTTTGTCCCCAGCCTCGGTTGGGGTTGTGTGAGTGGCAACCACTCGATGTGTCTCTCTCACATCGATGTTTCTCTCTCTTCCTCTCTCCCTCTTGCTCTATCTGAAGATAAATGTAAAAATGTCCTCAGGTGAGGATAAAAAAAAAAAAGAAATAGGGTAGAGCTTAGAAGGTGGGACACTGGCAACTGTGTGGACGCTAGACCTGGGGTTGTGGACTAGATCCCTCATTACTGCTCTTTAAGAAACATAAATAAAGATAACTGCTTTATAATTATGTTTAGTTGCTGGACTGTGTTTCTTTTGATGGGACATCATGGGGACTCTGGGCCATCTGGAGCCCCAGGTTTTAGTGGGTTACACCCAGATATGTTTAGCTGCCTTAACAGAGGTTTGGCACAAGAGATTTCTGCTAGTGTCCCCGTCTCTCTAAGCCACAGCTGGTGACCCGCCCATCTAAACTCTTGCCTTCTCCTTCCTGCCACCATGTCTCTGAGGGGCAGGTGGCTCTTCAGTAGTCAATCTCTAGAGGTTTTTCTTGCTGCCTCCACGGCCCCGGTCCCTGGTGTCCCTGGCCTAGCCTGGCACCCCTCACCTGCACCGAATTTTCTCGACGGTTGCTGGCTACATCCCCAGGGTTGTCTTTGGCCAAGGCAGTCAGGATATAGTGGTCCTTCTTCTCCCGGTCCAGAGAGGACAGCACATAGATGTCACCCTAGTAGGAAGAAGATGGAGCCAGGTCCTTCATGAGTTCAACAGATATTTACTGAGCATCTACTGTGTGCCAGACACTGCTGTGGGCCTGGAGACACAGCCCTGAACAGAAGAGACAACAGCCCCTGTCCCCATGGAGCTCCCATTCTTGCCCTCACTACCCCCTCCACCTGGAGATGGGATGAGCAGCCCAGCTGGAGCTTACTACCTGGCCAGGTACATGGTAGTATGCCATAAACATGTGTGTCCAAGTGCCAGGCCAGGGGCATGTCTGGTGGTTCACCCCACGCAGGACACTGCTGAGAGGGCCGACTGCAGGGAATGTGGGGGGGGGCAGGGGGAGGGGAAGTCCAATTCCAGCCCAGCGACTAGGGAAGGCCCTGTCTGACCAACAGCCCCCAGGCCACAGGACTCTTTCTGAACTGAAGCAGAGCCCTGAACCATCTGCAGACATTTGAACCCCTCTTTCTCTTGCGTTCCTGCGCTCCCACAGTCTGGGACTCCTGAGAGCACGAGGGGTGTGCTGAGTGTAGGGCTACATGTACAGGAGGTGCGCACAGCTGCTCGCTTTCTGCAGAACTGCCTGTGCCTCTCTTGCCAGGTTCAAAACGCAGTCACAGGGACTCGAATCAAGTCTTCTAGGCTGCTTGGGACACATATCAGAAGTTTTTGTCCCACAAAGAGCTAGTTCCAAAAGACTTGGGCCACTTCCTTCCATGTCTGCTGGGACAGAAAGACCTCAGTCTACAGAATGTCTGGGACTCTGAGACAGGACTTGGTGACGTGGCTAAAAAACCTCCGAGGTTACTGATTTCCAGGGGGCAGGACCCAGAAATGGGGATAACCACAATATTTTGCTGGCTTTGCTCATTCTGGGTCCATTCTACTCCCCACTCCCTACACCCACGCTCTCCATTGCCTGCTCACCGTCGTGGGGTTGATGGCGAACTTGCCCTCTCCGTCTCCGAGGCTGTACTCAATGAGGGCAAAGTTGCCCGAGTCGGCATCAGTAGCTGTGACCGTCAGGATGACTGTGCCCACAGGCACATCCTCATAGATGGCTTCCTGGAGCCCAGTGGGCAGGGGCAGAGAGCAGGCCGATGTCAGTCCTCCAGTCCCTGCCCTGGCTCTAGGAACTCACCACTATAGACAACCCAGGGCATCAAGCTGCTCATGGGATGGTCACTCCCATGAGGCTTAGAGGCTGGCGGTGTGGTAGCAAAATATGACCAAAGGCCCCAAAGAACGGGCACAGATCCTGGACCCGGCTTGTCGGCCTGGCCACTCACCTGGTAGGAAGGCTCATCAAATATGGGGTTGTTGTCATTGATGTCTACAATCTCCAGGTAGACAGGGATCTCAGCTGCCCGGGGTGGGGACCCATTGTCTGAAGCCCTCACAGTAAAGTTGAGCCAGTGCACTTCCTCGTAGTCCACCGTCCGGTTGGCAATGACTTTCCCTAAGACGCAGAGGCACACCCAGAGCCACGTTGGCCATTGCTCACTTATAAAGGTCTCCAAAGCACGAAGAGAAAGGACCTAGAGCTCGGAGGGGCAGGTATGGTCCCTTGGAAGGAGGATGGCCAGGCAGACTGCCCAGTGGCAGGTCAGAGGGCTGAGAGCAGCTGGCACCCAGCTGTTCTCCTTACTGGGGTCGGGGGGGGGGGCTCTCACAAGTCAAATAGATGGACATCAACCTGGCCAGGACCTCCTCTGAGAGACTCCCTCTTGGCCTTCTTGCTTCCTAAGCGATACTAATACAGTCAGCCCTCCAAATCCTCAGGTTCAACCTGCTGTCAGTGGGATATGTGGACTGGAACTGTGGACATGGATGCAGGGCTGACTATGGGACTTGAGCATCCATCAGTTTTGGTGTCCGCGGAGGGGCCCTGGAGCCAGTCCCCCTTTGATAGCAGGGGACAATGGTGTGAGAGCTTGCGTGGTGGAGATGGTGGTGGAGTTTCCAGGTCCCAGCAGAACGTAAAGGGGCCTTCCCTCCCAACCAAGGACAAAGCACTCTGTCCTCTCCTCTAGTTTGGGGTCTGGGAGTGGCTGGCTCCGGCCATACTGGCTCCGGCCCCGCCTACTGAAGGGCCATGGTGGGGCCACAACTGGAGGGTGAGAAGTGGGCCATGGTCCTCTTGGAGGTTAGATAGGCACACACATGTCCCCCGGCCCTCCTCTGGCAGGTGTCCCACCTACCCGCTGAGGAGTCTTCCAGCTGGACGTAGCCCGGGGGCATCGGGTCCAGCAGGGTGTAGGTGATCAACCCATTGAGGCCCTTGTCAGGGTCCACGGCGGCTACGGCGATGAGCGTGGTGCCCGGGGTGGCCCCCTCCAGGACCTTTTCTGTGTAGTAGGTGATCCCGAAGGGCTTGAACTGGGGTGTGTTGTCATTGACATCCAGGATGTTGACTGTCAGCTTGGCTGGGGCGAAGGCAAGGGGCGAGGTGACGTGAGGGGCACTAATGTGGCTGGGCCAGGCCTTCCTAAGTCTCAGCTATGCCTGGAGAAGATGGCAGCATCTCACAGCCCTCCTGGGACCCCTGAACCTTGACCCAGCCCTTGAGTGGTGGCACCTGACCCTTCTCTGGTCTGGCCGCATTCTTCCGGAGGGAAAGGAGCCTGGGTTCTACCGGCTGCGTGAGCCCCGGCCCTACTGCGCCTTAGTTTCCTAACCTGTCCAACGAGACCCTTTCCATGGCTCAGCCTCTGCCTTCTGTCGGAGTCATGCCCTTTGCCCTGAGTATAGGACATGTAGATGCCCTTCCTTCCTGAAAATGTGGTGTTCTGGGCTGTCAAGAAGGTGAGCAGACAGTATCTGCCAGGCCGATCTCCCCACCCCAGCGGCTGTCCTTGTCTCGTGGCAGAGGCCAGTGGAAGCTACTCCTTCCTACACCCCCTCCCTGCTCCCTACTTTCCCCACACAAAATCCCTGCCTCTGGCAGCCCTTCCAACTCATGCTCAGGCGGCAGCCTGCCAGCCTGCGGAAGGCAGCGTCTGTTTCCCTCTCTGCCCTAGCGCCCGTGCACCCCAATGTGGTATCTGTGGCTTCACATCAACTTTCCTAGTGCTTTTCTTCCTCTGGGCTGACCCTGTGGCTTCCTATCAGATCTGAGGTTCCTGTCTCACATCCCAGCCACATCCTTGTTACTAGTTTTGACAGTGGATTCTGACCTAAGTCTCTGTAACCATCTTTCCTGTCCAGCCTCAACCAATCCTCCTTCCCACGCTGAGCCTTGGGGTTTATGAACGCACACACTTCGGGGCTTCTGGATCCCCGACTGCTGAGCTCTGCCTGACAACTGGGACAAATGGCCCCCCTGGGCCTCACTGTAACGGCCACTTGTCACATCCCTCTGGGTCCTGCTGCTTCCTCCCTGGGACTAAGTCTTTGCTGTTCCCAGCCTGCCCCTCCTGCCCTGATCAGCTCTGAGATGGGAGATGCCTGCGAGGAACCTTACCATTTGGCACGCTGACAGAGCGCTCTGGTAGGTCACTGGCATTGTCAATCACCGAGACAGTGACCTCATAGGTGGCAACCAGCTCCCGGTTCAGGGGGGACTTCACCATTACAGACCCTGTAGACCAGATCAGGTCAGGTTTAGCCAGAGGGGAACCCCCTAAAATTTGGGCCTCTTAGGGGTATACCTGGCCAACCCACCCAATCCCCACTGAGGGCAATGGTCCCCAGTGGACCTGGGACTTGCTGGCCTCATCTTTGGATGGGATGAGACCACAGTCACCTGCAAGTTGGGCACATCCCTCATTGCTTACTAGACGGTGACCTTGAGCAAATTATTTACCCTCTCTGTACCTCTGTTTCCTCATTTGTAAAATCAGGACAATTACAGTACCTACTGGATGATAACAACTAAAGGAGTGTAAGGGGCCTAGAACAATGCTTGGCACATAGAGAATGACATATAATTGCTTGTTTAAAACAAGTTTTGGACACAACAATGTGAGTATACTGAACACTACATTTAAAGATGATTAAGACAGTGAATTTTGTTATGTGTATTTTATCACTATTTAAAGAATGCATGTATTCCACAGAGATCACGTATAAAGGAAGTTCAAGGCCGCTAAAACCACTGGGGGGATTCTCTCAGGGGACAGTGATGGAGCAGGCTGGACAGTCAGGATGACTCCATTAAGTGGGGAGTGACATGGGCTGATGGCAGGAAAGGAGCACAGCCTCGTGGCAGAACTAGCAAGTTTTCTTTTCTCCTACCTACTGCCTCTGGAGCCCCTGCCTACTCCCATCACGGGACAGATCTAGTTCGGCTGATCTCAGGGCTGCTCTAGCGGGAGCTCTCTGCTTCCTGCCTGCTGGAGGATCCGGTGGCTCTTCCTCCCGCCCACCTCATCCTAGGGTGAAACTCCTCTCTCCCTCTCCAGCTCCTTCTTGGGCACTGAGGTCTCTGGGATCCCCTCCCCCCTTGGCAGACCCCCTGCTGGGCTTCTGTCTTCCTCGGGTCCCCAGCCATGGGGAGGTCACTTACCCTGGGCCGCTGCCTCCTCCTCCTCCTCTTCCTACTCTCGCTCCCCGTCCCCGAGGCTGGGGAGCGAGGATGGGGAGAGGGTGGCTGCATTCAGTCTGCAAAGGCTGGGCCACGGCCTTGGCCTGGCCCCACGGGATGGGAAAGGTGGTGGGGGTGCGGTGGGTATGCAGGAAGGCAATGGGGTGAAGCAAAGAAGAGATGAGGTGGGAAGTGACAGAGAAATAGAGCTCAAACCTGTGGGCCTGCCAGCCGTGAGGAAGAGAGAAGAGGGTTAACATCAGTTAGTTCAGGGCGCGGAGGGAATAGCGCAGGGCATGGGGGACAATGGGGCTCAGAGCTGACCGGGGAGGGGAGTTTGGGAGAGAGGCTGTGAAGGGAAGAGGCCGAGGGGAAGGGAGCTAGGAGAGGAAAAGGAAGCCCATTTGGTAGGAGAGGAAGGGGGAAGGAAGGTGAGCAAGACAGGTGGGGAGAGCATGAGGAAGAAGGGGCAGAGGAGACACTGGAAAGAAAAATAGAGAGAAGAGAATCAGTTAAAGGGAAGGACAACAGAAAAGAGAAAAGTGGTAGAGGCAACAGTTCTGTTTGTACACAGCAACAAGTTGGGCAGGGGTATGGAGCAGCTCTCCATGGTCCTGACCAGGCACTGCAGGGGGAATTTTGCTAACCTGGGATGTGGTTTAACATATGTGACTTCTCCTAGTGCTCATGGTTTTCCTGACTTTTTTTCTTTTAGGCCTCTGATGCAGACTGAGTTAATCGTACTCTTTGGTTTACTGCACACTGTGGCCATTGGCACTACTCTTGTTTTATGTACGTATCCATTCCCTTTTGTTCCAGTACTCCTCACCTCTTCCCTTCTCCTCTAGGGCAATTATTATAATGTACTGAACATCATGTATTGTTTTGTGTTATTTTTATGCAAATAGAATTGTGGTATATATATTCCATCCTATTTTTTACTCTTTTCAGTAAGTACTTATTTTTAAGGTCCCCCACATTGTTCTGTATGAGTCTAATCTATTCAGTTGCTTCTAACTGATGCTTGGTATTCCATGGTGTGCACCCACAATGTTTTAGTCTCCAGTCTCCCAAGGATGGGTGCCCAGGAGGCCTCCAACTCCCACCACCAACAATGCAGTGAACATCCTCAGATAGTCCCATCATTGACCTGAGAGTTTCCTTGGGAAATTCTACCCAGGAGCAGAATTGCTGGGTCATAAGGTATGAGTGTACTTTGTGCTAAATTGCTGTCTAGTTGGTGGAATTGGTCTGAGCACCAATAGTAGTGTATGAGGGATCCGATGTCCCCACATAATCACCAATGCTCAGTATTGTCTAGCATCCTAATATCTGGTAATCACATTTGGAAAATTGATATCTCATTGCTGTTTTACCATGCATTTCTCTGAATAACAATTTTTAACATTTTGTATCAGCCATGTTAGTTTTTCTGTCATTCCCCTGGGCCTTCCTGGAAGTATACGTGGGAGGTCAATGTTCCTTCACTAACTCCCAGAGGAACAAAAAACATGAATTTTGGGAAAAATGGTAAAACCATTAAGGTTATAATAAACTGCATAAATCATAAAATATAGGCCACATTTCTCTTTGTTTTGTGATAGTGTAAGAAAGTCATTAAAGATATATATACAAATATATATGATGTTATTAAAGAAATGCATATTAAAACAAGGTACCACTTTCTTAGAAAATTACAAACATACAAACTTTATAATATTTAATGCTGGCTAGAGGTGGTGAGATGGGCACTCTCATAAACACTGACAGACTGAGAATCAGAAAGACAGGGAGCTGGTCCGGGGGAAGGAAGAAGAGAAAGGAGAGAGAGAAGGACAAAGAGACAGATGGAAAAGAGAGGGAAGGATGTGTTGTCAATAGAGGAGAGAAGAGACAGAGGAGCAGCTGAGGGAAAGGGAGCAGCAGAGAGAGAGAATACAAAAGAGGAAGGTTGAGGAAGAAAGCAGAGAGCAGAGACTGGGCAGGGAGTTGGGAGCAGGGGTGAATGGGGAGCAGGCCCTTGTACCTGTGTTGATATTCACAGCAAAGGCGTCCTCCTGGTGGGGCACCAGGCGGTCAGTGTCGTCCTTGGCCACAATGTCAATGATGTGGTATTCCAGCTTTGGGTTGAGGTCGCGGTCGATGGCTGTGACATTGGCAATGACGGTGCCTGGCTCTGCTGACTCCAGCACGCTCACCGTCTGGATGGGGTTGAGGAACTCGGGGCGGCAGTCGTTAACATCATCAATAAGAACAGTGATGATGGCCGTGCCAGAGAGAGGAACAGTGCCCCGGTCAGAGGCCACCACTGTCAGCCTGTAGGATTCCTGCTCCTCCCTGTCGATGGTGACATTGCCAACGCGGATGACCCCTGTGATGGGGTGGATGAGGAAGCGGTCCTGAGCCCCGGCTTCTATTCGGTAGATCAGCTCCCCATTGAGGCCACTGTCCTCATCTGTGGCTGTGACCTGAAGGATGGAGAATCCTGGGGGGGAGGGGGAGGCTGAGTAACTGAGCACAGTAGCTTCTTCTGAAAACATCACAATAATATATGTTTGCTGGCTGTTCACAAGGGCTCTTCTCACCACAGCCTTGCCAGCATATATCTTTTCTATACCATTCATGTTTGCAATTTTGTAGAAAAACGGTATCTTATTTTGCTTTAATCAGTGGTTCTCAACCTTCCTAATGCCACGACCCTTGAATACAGTTCCTCATGTTGTGTGTGGGCGTATCTGCACGTGGGCGGACCCGCCTGGAGACGGATAGAGGAGCCCTGTCTCGGTTCCTAAGACCATTGGAAATGTGTATTTTCCGATGGTCTTAGGCGACCCCTGTGAAAGGAACGTTCGACCCCCAAAGGGGTCACGACCCACAGGTTGAGAACCGCTGCTTTACATTCTTTGATTATTTGTGAGATTGAACACTTTTTTTTTTATTCCTCACCCGAGGATATTTTTCCATTACTTTTTCAGATAGAGTGGGAGGGAGAGAGAAAGAAACATTGATGTGAGAGACACACTGATTGGTTGCCTCCCGCACAACCCCAACCAGGGCTGGGGATCGAACCACAACCGAGGTATGTACCCCTAACCGGAATCAAACCCACGACTCTTTGGTCCACAGACCGTCACCCTATCCACTGACCCAAACTGGCTGGGGTGAGATTGAACACTTTTTAATAATTTAATGATTAATTGTATCTCTTGCAAATGGTATGCTTTTGTTTTCTGCCCATTTTTCTGTCAATTTATACAAATTATATAATTATGATAACTTGTGACAACTATCCTTTTTCATTTTGTTGTTTGCCTTTCAATATTGGTTATAATTATTTGAAGTAAAAAAGTTTAAATGTATATACACTAGAATTTAATATTTTTCCTTTATTAAGCTCTTTTGTTTCTTGTATGCTTAGAAACTTCTTATCCTGAAGTCAGATAAATATTCACCTAAAGCTTTTCTTTTACTTTTTAATGTTTTCTACTTTTTAATCTTTTCTTTAGAATGCCTTTGGCTTTCATTTTGGTTTGTTATGTGGGGTAAGAATCTACACTAAATGTTAATAGATGTTTTGTACACTAAAAATTAGTTTTCACTATTCATTGTTGCCTTTATCACATTAATATTATATTATTTAATTTATTGGTATCTGTTTCTGGGCTACTTTGTCCCAGACTGTTTTGCTCATATCATATGGTTTTAAAACTGTAATTCTGTAATATGTTTTAATGTCAGCCAAGGCAAATCTGCTTTTATTATATTTATTTTTCAAAATGTTCTCATTCTTCCAGATGACTTTCAGAATCAAATTTACCCCCCAAATCTTATTTGATTTTGATGGGAATCACATTACTCCTATTTTGACTTTAAAATAGTCTCTTCATCCAGGAACACTGCTCAATAATCTCATTTTGCAGACAAGACACTGGGTCACAGAAGGGAAGTGAGGGGGGCCTGGGCCTGTTCCCTGCACCCTGCTTACCTGGTGGGCAGTTCTCCAGCAAGTGGATAGTGAGGGCAGCAGGGCTAAAGATGGGCCAGTTGTCATTGTCATCCAGGATGGTGATGAGCAGGTCAGCTGTGCCATTGAGCAGCCCAATGTCCTCAGCCAGCAACAGCAGCTCCAAGATGGGAGGTGAGAAGGCCTCCCGGTCAATGACAACACCTGACCTCACTGTCACGACACCTGACACCCAGTGCCACCAGCCAGGGAGATGCAAAGAAAAAGGGGCACAGTGGGGAAAAAGGGCAAGAGCCAACCAGGAGGGTACATTGACAGACCCGGGCACAATGTGGGGAAGAGATGAAAGAGAAGCAGAGAAAGTAACAAATGACTTTCTTCTCCAAAGGCTCAACAACCAAAGCTGAGGGAGGTCCCCCAGGTGCCAGTCTCCTGGGATTGTCCCTGCCCCAGGTGCCCTCTGCAATTCTATATAGCCCTGCCTGGGATGAGTGACCCAAGGTGGAGGACTGACCTGCTTCACTGAGAGAGGTGCTAGTATATCCCTCTGTGGTGTCACCTGTCACCAAATTGGCCTACTGTCTAGGACCAGACTGATGTGACATGGTCTCTTGGGACCTTTGGGTCTGGTTTGAGGACAGAGCTTTGGCTGCTTCTGGCTGACAGGGGGCCAGAGTCCCTGGCCTGGGCATGGGGAGGTGGAGGGAGTGGGTGGGAGGGCTCTCTGTCTAGGCTGAGTTTATGCACTAGCAGGTCCCTCGCGTTGTCCCTAGTCTTCTCGCTGGCCCCAGGCGCCCTAGTACAGCTCTGAGGAATGGGGGATCCCTAGCGAATCCAGATCTGGCACAGACAGCGAGGCCCTAGGTCCAGCAGCGGGCTCACTCCCATCCCACTGGAGCCAGGCTAGGAGAGCCGGGGGTGTGCAGACGCCTCACCCGTACTGTTGTCGATGTCAAAGAGGCTGCTCTGGGCACCCAGCAGCTGGTAGGTCACCACGGCATAGACGTCCAGGTCTGCATCCAGGGCCAGGATGGGCCCATTGAGCACTGTGAGGGGGGTCCCTGGACCAGGGGGAGAGTGGTCACTGCAGGGCCGGCTTGGCCCCCTGCCCCTCCCCCGCCCCCATCCCAGTGAGCCATGGCTGACAATGGATGAGAGGGAGGTGAGGTGGATGGGGTGGGGAGGCCCTGGGCCGGCTGCGCAGCCTTGGCAGACTGACGCAGATGCCTGGGGAGCGGCCTCAAAGCCCTGCTGGGGAGAAAACACAAGAGTGGTGAGCAAGCCCCTCCGGCCCGCCCAGAGCATGCCTGCCTTCCCAGCAGCCTTTGAGGCTGGCCACTCCCAGGGAGAGTCTGGGGCTCCCTGACATCCCCTGCTGTGTGTGGGCCCTATCAGGTAGGCACACCCCTTCCAGTGTGTCTACATGGGTGTGTCCACACGCTTTATACAGGGTCTGACCATACATGACTAGAAATCCACATGTGTGTGCAGGACTCTGTTCATATGGCCACAAGCATGCACACAGGAGCACTCGCAGGCCTGGGTGTCCCCTGGTTGTGCACCTGTCTGCCTCTGCAGGTGGGTACATTTGCACACTGTGCAGGCACCCACATGTCTGTGTGTCTGTGCATGTGTGTAAGCCACACGTATGCCTTGACGTGAACACGTACTGGCACATGTGTGAGCATATACACTGGCAGGTTTAAGAAACATTCGTGTAGGAGGTACCCAGCCAGAGACATGGAGTTTCTCAGTTCATCTCTTTCTGACTTAGAATGTAAGCTTGGGGGCTGGTAAAAAGGAGATTCTGTCCCTCCGAAGGGAGGTGAGACTGGTCAGTGCATGTGTGTGGGGAAGAGCTATGCTGACCTACACAGGGCCTGCGGCCCCACCTCTGATTACAGATGCTCCTGAAGCTTCCAGAAGCCTCCAGAATGCTCTGTGCTCCTGGGTTGAAGAGAACAGGCATGCTCCCATCCTGGGTAGTCCTCACACTTAACTGCTCCTCTTGGGGAGCTTGGGGCTGCTCTCAGTCCACTTTGAGTACCAGTGACCACTTCGAACCAGACCTGTGGCTTCGTTGGTGGCCCCTACGAAGCCTGGCAGCTCAGGTGCACTAGCCCCTTGGAGCTGTTCCTCTCCCTCCTGTCCACACCCTTTTGTTCCCACTGGCTCTGTGTTCAGCTATGTGGTGGGGCTGCCACCCAGCCAGGCCTCAGCTGGGCCCCCTCAGGCAGAGGGAGGGTCCACAGGCATCTGGGACCCAGGCGGTGCCTGGCGGCAGCAGGATTCCCAGGTGGGCCCAGCACCTACCAGCAGGCGAGTTCTCCATCACCTCTGCCTGGTAGGTGCTCTCAGTAAAGAGGGGGTGGTTGTCATTCTCGTCCGCAAGAAAGATCAGCAGCAAGTCAAAATCCTGTGGGAGGCATGATGGGAGGGCAGGCTGTAGGCCATATTCTAGCAAAGTGCTCCAGTGGAAGGAAGACTGAGAGATGGGGGTTCGGGGCCCAGGGGTGGGGGATTGAAAAGCCCATACTTGGGGTCCAGAGACCTGGGTTCAAGTCCCCGCTGTGCTAGAGATCACTTGGTGGCCTTAAGCAAATAATTTCCCCTAGGTGAGCCTCAGTTATCCAATCTGGCAAGTAGGATTTTAAAAAAAATGTATCTTATTGTTGAAAATATTAGATGTCCCCTCTTCCCCCTCCCCCCCGGCATTGACACCCTCCTCCCTGTTCCTGCCCCCCTCCTGCCTTCCCCACACTGTTGTCTGTGTCCACTGGTTATGCATATATGCAGAGAAGTTCTTTGGTTTATCTTTTCCCACCCCTTCTCTCCCCTTTCCTCTGAGGTTCTGTTAGAGGGAAATTCCCAATTAACAACCAATTTGTACTTCCTAATCCCTTTATCTTTTCCCCCATCCCCCAACCCTCTCCCTTCTGACAACCAACAATACATTCTCTGTATCTATGAGTCTGTTTCTATTCTGCTTGTTCATTTTGTTTGTAGATTCAGTTGTTGATTGATATATATTTATTCACATTTTATTGTTCATTTTTTAAATCTTTTTCTTCAAGAAGACCCTTCAACATTTCATATAATACTGCTTTGTTAGTTTTCTCTTGTCTGAGAAGCTCTTTATAGAATCATCTATTCTAAATGATAGCTTTTCAGGATATAGTAATCTTGATTGTAGGTCTTTGCTTTTCATCACTTTGAACATTTCTTGCCACTCCCTTCTGGCCTGCAAAGTTTATTTTAAGAAATCAGTTGACAGTCTTATGGGAGCTTCCTTGTAGATAAATACCTACTTTTCTCTTGCTGCTTTTAAGATTCTCTCATTGTTTTTAATCTTTTGCATTCTAATTATGATGTGTCTTGGTGTGGACCTCTTTGGGTTTATCTTGTTAGGGACTCTCTGTGCTTCCTGGACTTGCATGTCTATTTTCTTCACCAAGTTAGGAAAGTTTTCTGTTATTATTTTTTCAAATAGATTTTCAATTTTTTGTTCTCTCTCTTCTCCTTCTGGTACCCCTATGATGTTAATGTTGATACACTTGAAGTTGTCCCAGAGGCTCCTTATACTAACCTTATTTTGGGGGATTCTCTTTTCTTCTTGCTGTTCTGAGTGTTATATTCCAAATCGATGGTTTGATTCTCAGGTTCACCTACTCTATAATTGATTCCCTGTAAATTATTCTTTATTTCAGTTAGTACATACTTCATTTCTGACTGGTCCTTTTTTATGCTCTTGAGGTCCTCACTGAGTTCTTTGAGCATTCTTATAACCAGTGTTTTGAACTCTGTATCTATCTGTTTGCTTGTCTCCATTTTGTTTAGTTCTTTTCCTGAAGTTTTGTTCTGTTCTTTCTTTCTTTTTTTTTTATCCTCACCCGAGGACATTTTTCCATTTTTTTTTTTTTTTTTTTTTTGTTCAGATAGAGCGGGAGGGAGAGAGAGGAAAAGAGAGAGAGAAACATCGATGTGAAGGGACACATCGAGTGGCTGCCACCCTCATGACCAACCAGGGCCGGGGACAATCTGCAACCGAGGTACGCGCCCTTAGCGGGAACCGAACCCGGGTCTCTCTGGACCACAGGCCGACGCTCTAACCGCTGAGCCAAACCAGCCAGAGCTGTTCTGTTCTTTCATTTGGGACATGTTTGTCTCCTCATTTTGGCTGCCTCCTGGTGTTTGTTTCTATGTATTAGATAGAGCTGCTATGCCTCCTAGGCTTGGTAGGGCAGTCTATTGTAGTAGGTGTCCTGTAGGACCCAGTGTCACAGCCTCCCTGATCACCCCAACTGGGCCCTCGAGGTGCATCCCCTTTGTGGACTGTACACCCTTCAGTTGCAGTTGAGTCTTGATTGCTGTTGGCACATCAATGGGAGGGATTTACTCAGGCTGATTAGCTGCAAGGACTGGCTGTGACCACTGATCACCGACCTCTGACCACCTTGGATGATCAGCTGTGCAGGGGCCCATCACACAGAGCGAGACTTACTTCAGCAGGGCTCTGGTACCCACTGAGTCCACCCTTTGAGTGTGTCACTTGTGGAGGTGGTTGGGTCGTGATGCTTTGACGTGGTTTGAAGCTAACCACTGGGTGTATTGGCTCTGGGGCCAAGGTTAGCCACTGCCTGTGTTCTACCCGGGGCCACCAGACATAAACTGCAAAGCTATCTTCAGATGGCTGCTTCTTGTGTGGAGCTTTAAGGTGCCCAGGCCAGGCCATGCTGTGAACCAAAGCTGGCTGCTGCTAGTGCTGAGCCTGGGGCCACTTACCAAGAGGTGTTGGGCTCACTGAGGCCAGATGCTGCTTGTTTGAGAGGTTTTAGGAAAATCTGAAGCATGAGCCCAGACAGGCCATTCCTATGGTCAAGCTACTGGAAACAGCTTGGGTAGGCCCAAAAGTTGGGTGGGGCAGGGCCTCAGGGAATCACAAGGGCGGGGCTACCAGTGTGAGCCAGGTTGCTGGAGCCCCATCTGCCTGCCCCGGGGATGGGTGGTGGTGGGGGTGGTGGTGGGAGACAGTGGCCTCTGCCAGCAAGTCTGTCTGGGAGAAAGCTGCCTCTCCAGCTCTCACCCTGATGTCAAACGGCTCAGTTCTTCCCTGTATGTCTCTGGTGCCTTGCAAGTTGCCTCCCCAGTGCTGGAGCCTGGAGGGTATGAATCTGGGTAAGTCCATGCGCGGGCCCTTTAAGAGGAACTGCCTGGGGCTCCAGCAGCCGCAGTCTCCCTGAGCCTCAATTCCCACTGGTTTTTCCAACCAGAAGTGATGGGGTCTTCTCTTCCTGGCACTGGAACCCTGAGCTAGGGGCCTGGTGTGGGGCGGAGATCCCTTGCTCCTCGGGGAGGACTTCACAGCTGAGGTGTCCTCCTGATTTTTATCCGACACATGTGGGTGTGGGACACCCCTCCTACCAGTCTCAGTGTAGGACTTCCATTTAGCTGGGTTTCAGGCTGTTCTGAATGATGGGTGTTCTGTAGTTAGTTGTCATTTTGATGTGGTTGTGGGAGGAGGCGAGTACCGTGTTCACCTATGCTGCCATCTTGACTGGAAGTTGCAAATGGGATCTTAACTCCTTCACAGAGGTGTTGCCATTCCCAGGAGGATGGGCATGAAGGGCACTCAATCAGTCCATCTCAGGGTAAGAAAGGACTGAAGGCAGGAAGATGAGTGTGGTCCTCAGACCTTCCAGGCCTGCCTGATGCCCCAGCAGAGCTCACCCCGACTCTCACCCAGGGCCGCACTTCACCCTTTTAAAAACCAGTCACAGTTCTGATCTGTCTGCATCTCCCCTGAAAGGCAAGGAAACCGAGGCCCAGAGGTGACTGTTCAACTGCACAGCAAGTTCGCAGCAGAGTGGGGACCAGCCCCCAAGCCTCCTGATTCCCACCACTTCCCAGGTGACCCAGGCCCTCCCACAGCACAGGCTGGAGGGAACGAGAGCAGCAGAGAAGGGAGAAGAGATGAGAGGAGGAAAGGGGGGAGCACAGAATGAGGGCCAGTGGCTCATGAGCAGCTCCAGCCTGAAGTCTCCTCAGCCTATACAGATGGGGAACTGAGGCCCAGAAAGGGTAGTGTCTTGGCTGAGCCATGCAACTATTTCAGAAGCAGAGCTGAAATTGGTCAGGGTCCTGCCCCTGACCTCATGGGCTGGGAAGGAAGGGTTGAATCCTACCCCCAAAAGGGACCGTTTGCTTGCAACACCTGCTTCTCTTAGTAAAGAGAAACACTTTCTTTGGCTTGTGAGGGAAAAGCCAGCCTTTCAGGGAAAATGCACCCTTTCAGCAGGCCGGGGTTGTGCCTGTGAGTGCGCCCAGGCCATATGCACACACAGCTGTGCTGTGTGCCCAAGCGGTTTGAGGGAAAAGGTAACAGCTGAGGGCACCGAGTGTTTGCCACGGGCCAGGCAGGCACTGTGCTAAGGACATTACAGATAGCGGCTCTTTCAGGTCCTCTCCACTCGCTCACTCCAAGGCCTGTGCATCAGCCCCCTGGCAGGCTGCCTGTGCGTCTCGAGCACCCAGCCCTGCGTGCCCCCGCCCGCCGTGCCCTCCAGCCTCACCCTCCTGGCTATGCGTGGGTTCTCCGGGTTGTCCTTCACGGAAATGGTCAGCTTGTACTCCGGGATCCGCTCACGGTCCAGGGGCCGGTTCACGGTGACAATCCCTGTCTGGGATGTGGAGAGTTGGTGAGCTGGGTGGCACCTGTTCTCCACTTTGGGCTCTGGCCCAGATGCCCAAATGCTCTTCTTGCGTGTCATGAGTGGCTATAAATTCCCTCCCTAAATCACAGATATTTCTATAAGGCTGAGATGCACAGGCACGGGGTTGCCAGGGTAAGAATGACCTCCCCCCCCCGCCCCTCCCCAGTGCTCAGGTGTTGCTGTCTCAAGGGATGAGTCCTCTGAGGACCCTGTGGTGCCAGCAGCTGGCAACACTCCAAGATATCTAGTGAAGACTTCCTGGGGGTGTGTTGGTACAAACCAAGTGGCACTGAGGCTCTGGCCCCGTATCTGTACATGACAAGCCTTGGGGTAACAGAGACCCCAGAGATGGCTCAGCTGGGAATCTGAGATTCCACGCTTCCCACAGAGACTCCGAGTCCAGGGGAGGAAGGCGGCTTGAGGAGCACACGGAATCAGAGGGCGACTAGACAGTGGCGTAGAAAACCCTCTAGGGCAGGGTCCTCTTCTCTAGGAAAAGCCCCGGGCCTCCCTGGGGCCACCCGGCCTACCGTGGCGTTGATGGAGAAGGCCCGCTCCCGGTTGCCTGCGGTGATGTTAAAGGTGAGCAGGGCATTGCACCCGCTGTCAGCGTCGCTGGCCAGGATGTGGGCGACGAAGCTGCGGACGGGGCTGTTCTCACTGATGGTGACGTTCATGGGGAGGTTCAGCAGCACAGGGTCATTGTCGTTGATGTCCAGCACCCGAATCCCCACCAGCATCTGGGGCGTGCCAGGGGACGAGAAGGAAGAGGTGATGGAGAAGGACAAGGAGAACGGGGGTTTGGGGAGACAGAAGAGGGAGGAAGAGAGTGATGGTGGCCATGGCAGCCAAGGAGGATGAGTGAGACAGGGCAAGAGAGCAAAGAGGTGGCGACTGAGGAGGAAGGTGCGGTTGATGATCATGGAGAAGATAGGAGGACGACGAAGAAAATGACAGTGAAAACAGCAAGTGGGTAAAAATGAGGATAAGAGGGGGGCAGAAAAGGTAAAGAGGCAGAGGGGGTGCAGAGGCGGGTTGCTATGGGGGGACAACCCTGAGAGGCCACGGCTGCCAGGTCCCGGGTCCAGCCTCCACAGGTGAGCCCGGAGATGCACTCACACATCTGTTGGGGGCCCTGAGGACCCGGATTGGCTCCAGAGCAGCACGTGGACTCTCTGGGCTTGGGGTGGGAGTGTTTACAGGAGTCTCTGTGGGATTTCAGGGGGCAGCAAGGTAAAGCCAGTAGCGTGGGGCCCCAGACTCACCGTGGAACTGAGTGGGGGCACACCTCTGTCGCGAGCACAGATGGTCAGGTTATAGAAGGCAATGGTTTCCCGGTCCAGCTCCACATCCTTCCGGACCCGCAGCACACCCTCCACAGGAGAGATCAAAAACTCCCCTGGTGCCACCCAGGAGAAGCCAGAGTTAGCTGGGAATGGCCAAGAGTGGCGGAGAGCCCAGGCCTTCCTCTAGCAAGCCTGCTCGCCGGGAGTAGGGGACAGCTGGGGTGTGGTCCTCTAATGCCCTCAGCTTCAGATCCTCACGGGACCTGCCAAGGTCTGGGAAGTGCAGGAGGGAGGGGCACAGATATGCCTGAGATGCCAGATCAGTTTCCTTCCCCGGCTCACGGTCAGGCCAGGGACTGAGTCTAGGTAAGATGGTCACATTGAAAGAGTGGGGTTCAGTAAAGTTGCAGGATACAAAATCGATATACTAAAACCTGTTGCGTTTCTATACACCAATGATGAACTATCCAAACGAGAAATTAAGAAAACAATCCCATTGCTCGGCTCAGTGGATTGAGTGTTGCCCCATGGATTGAGAAGTTCCGGTTCCATTCCGGGTCAGGGCACATGCCCAGGTTATGGGCTCTGTCCCCAGTAGGGGGCCTGCAGGGGGCAGCCAATCAATGTACCTCTCTCATATTGATGTTTCTCTCTCTCTTTCCCTTATTCTCTCTTTAAAAAATCAATAAAAACATATTTAAAAAAAAAAAAAGAAAACAATCACATTTACAACTGCATCAAAAAGAATAAAATACCACCCAGCTGGTGTGGCTCAGAGGTTGAGTGTCAACCCATGCACCAAGAGGTCACTGGTTTGATTCCCAGTCAGGGCACAGGCCCAGGTTGTGGGTTGAGGAGCATGCAGAAGGTGGCCAATCGATGTTCCCTCTCATTGATGTTTCTATCTCTCTCTCCCTCTCCTTTCCTCTTTCTCTAAAATCAATAAAAGAAAAAATAAATTAAAAAAAAAAATAGAATACCTGTGAATAAATTTAACCAAGGATGTGAAAGACCTGTACTTGGCAACTATAGACATTAGTGAAAGAAACTGAAGACAGAAATAAAGAAAATTCTGTGCTCATGAATAAGAAGAATTCATATTGTTAAAATGTCCATACTATCCAAAGCAATCTACAGTATCAATGCAATCCCTATCAAAATTCCAATGGCATTTTCCACACAAATAGAATAGACAATCCTAAAATTTGTATAGAACCAAAAAAGACCCCAAATAGCCAAAGCCATCTTGAGAAAGAACAAAGCTGGAGGCATCATGTTTCCTGATTTCAAACTACATTACAAGCTATCATCATCAAAACAGTATGATTTTGGCATAGAAACAGATATAGATCAACAGAACTGAACAGAGAGCCCAGAAATAAACTCACACATATATGGTCAATTAATTTATGGCAAAGGAACAAGAATAACCAGTGAAGAAGGAACAAGAGCTGGGAAAACAGGACAGCCAGTTGCACACACTATCTTGCACACACACACAAATTAACCCAGAACGGACTGAACACTAGAATGTGAGACTTGAAACCATAAAACTCCTAGGGAAAAATAGGCAGCAAGCTCTTTGACATTAGACTTGGCGATGCATTTCTGGACTTGACACTCAAAGCAAAAACAAGTGGAACTATATCAAACTGAAAAGCTTCTGCACAGCAAAGGAAGCCATCATCAAAATGAAAAGCCAATCTACTGAATGAGAGAAAATATTTGTAAATCATATATCTGATAAGGGGTTAATATCCAAAATATATAAAGAACTTATACAACACAAGAGAAAAAAGAAAGAGAGAAAGAAAGAACAAAAATGACATGGATGACTTGTCTGAGCTCCCCCAGCAAGTTCACAACAGACCAGGATTCCAACCCAGAGCTCTGGGTCTCAGCCCAGTGCATCCCATGGTTCGTGTGGTCTTTCCAGACAACGCCACTCAGAGCTGAGCAGGGTGGGAGGTGCAGGAGGGAGGGCTGAGAACAGGGAGGGGGTAGAGGAGAAGAGCAGAGGGGCAAGGAGCCAGGGAGCAAGTGGGAGCCAAGTTGGATAGAAGAAAGGGGAGGAAAGGGGAGTCAGAAAGGTGGGGAGAGCATGAGGAAGAGGGGGTTACTTGTATGTACTCCCCCAGGAACTGGGAACAGGGAGAAAGTTACTTCCTTCATTTTCCCTTTTGACACCCGAGGAAAGGCCCAGAGCGGGGCACTGACTGTTCAGGAACACACAGCACAGGAGGGCACAGCAAGGACAGGGCTCAAGCTCTCTCAGTTTTCTCTGCCTGCCCCTCCACATCCTCCCTCGCCATTCCCTGCCCCTGCTCCCACTGCTCTGACCCAAAGGACAGCCCCTCGAGGCTCACCTGCCGCGGGATTTCCCACCAGCTCCTCCACTCCCAGCAACCCCGCAGACTGCTTCAAGCAGAGTTTCCTGAGCCTGACACTCCAAGGTCTCCAAAGAACTGCGGATCCCCTTCATGGGGTTTCTCACCCTGTCTCAGCCCCTGGCCATGTGTAAGCAATGGCCTCTTGCCTTCTCTGCACAGCCAGCCACTCCCTCGACGGAGGGAAGGAAGAGGTCCCGAGGGCTTAGGGGAGCAGGCCTGCGGCTCTGGGAGCTGGGCCCACGCTAGATTCCTAAGTCAGCTCCCTGGGGGAACTGAATAGGCTAAAGGCCCCACACAGTAAATTACCTTCCTTAACAGCTTGCCTGGGGCCTGAACTTCCCACCACTCCACTCCTTCCTCCCCATTTAGTCATGTACAAGTCTGCATCCTGATTTCACTCTTTTATACTCTTGGCCATGTTACTGAGTCCTGCCTTGATGTTCTCATCTGAAAAATGGGCTAACAAAGAGGTGCCACCGCAGGGTTGTGCTGGTACTGGACAAGGCCTGTTCCACCTTGTGTGTGCTAGATCCATGGCAGTTCTTGGTATCATTGGGGCATTCTGAAAGGGAGCCCAGGCAGCCCTCTTAAGGAACTGGGGGCTTTCAGGGAGGATGAAGATATTAGAAAGGGGTCCAGGGAGTAGGTCTAACCAAGAAGGTGTAGCTGAGAAGGTTGGGGTTGGCAGGAGACACCCAAGAAAACATGGCCTGTTTCCCAGCTGATTTCCCCCTCACACCTCAGTGGGGCTTGCATAAGCCTGTCATCCCTGATGTCACCCCACCCGACAGGGGCACCCTCTGGACTCAGGCTGCAATGGTGGAAAGGTGACCTTGCGGCTGAGTAGCCTGGAGCTTGTCCCTCCACCCATGATATGCTGCTAAACCAGCTTTTCCAGAAAACAGCTCTGATTTGTCAGTTTTTCAAGTTACCAACATGGTGTCACTGAATGCAGAGGTGGGAAGAGATGTGGGGATTAGATAGTGTGACCTTGTGAACCACTCCAGCATGCCATTAGATCATCGCTATCTATCCTGGCATGGAGTGGTCTGTGATCCTAAGGTTATCACTGGGCTCTGAATGTCTGCTTTTCCTTCCTGAGGGGAGGGAGCCCCAGGCCCTGTCAGTCTGGGGGAAGTCCCTGGGTTTATTCTTACAGGGACCTGCCTCTCAGGCTCCCGGGACACCCCATGAGACCCTAAATTCCTAAGGCTGACCCGATCACATGTGGATTTAACCCTAGAGGTCTTGCTCATGACTCCAAGGGCCCATGGCATGCAGTATTCTGGGGTACTGGTATGCCCTGCACCTCAAAGCTGGGTACAGAGAGGGCTTATTGGGAGGGGGCTCAGCTGCCCATCCAGTACCCACCTCTCAACCAGGCTTTGGCACCCTCCTGCACAGGAGCAGGGCCCCCGTGAAATTATAAAACCTCCGTGTGTGTGAAAACAGCATAAGAGAAGGACCCTTGCTCAGTCCTTGGCCAGAGAGGAGAATTTTGGGACATGAAAAGATGGCACGTCAGAACAGAGTGACCCACCACGAGCTCTGGACAGCGGGGGCTCCAGGTCTGGTCTTATAGAGTGAGTTTGTTTCTTTGCCTCTTAATTGCAAATTCGCCCCAGGTTCTCGTTCTAGCCTTGGACCTCTCCTCTGTCAGCTTCCTCAGTGTTCTCTCATCTTGTGGCTTCAGATATCTGTGCTGACAACTCCCAAGTATCTCTCTCCAGCCCAGACCTCTCTCCTGAACTGGCTTACCAGCCACCTCAACCTCGCCTCCCCCTCCCCCGACACCTGCTCCGGATGCAGTCTTCCCCGCCGCTGATGACAATGCCCTCTCTCAGGCCCAAACCTTGGTGTCATCTGTGACTGCTTCTCACATCCCACATCCAATCAGTCAGCACATTTGGTTGGCTCCACCTCTGAAATATACCAGAACCGACCACCTCTCCCGTCTGCAGTGCCACCACTCTGGTCCTGGCTACACCACCTCCAGCCCGAGTGGTTGCAACAGGCTCCTACCTAATCTGCCACTCCTGTTCCTGAGTTCCTATGGTCTCATCTGAGTGCAAGAACTGAAAAGGTCCTGTTAAAATCTAAGTCAAACCGTGCCCCTCCTCTGCTCAAAGCCCTTCTATGGTTCCCACATCACTCAGAGCAAAAGTCAAGTTTTGATAAATAGCCTGAAGAGCTCAATAACATCTGGCCCAAATACCTCTCTGATCTTATCTCTTCCTACTTGCCCCCTTGCTCACTTCATGTCAGCCATAGGGCCTTTCGGCTTGCTGCCAGGCATGCTCCAACCTCAGGGCCTTTGCACTTGCTGTTCCCTCTGCCTGGGATGCTCTTCCCTAGATGTCCACATGACCCACTCCTCATTTCCTTCAGGTCTCTGCTCAAATGTCACCTCCTTGGACAGGGCTTGAACACCCTATCTAACATTGCAGCCTTGTGACACTCTTATCTCCCGGCTCCTTATCTCCCCGCAGCACTTAGAACCTAGTATACTAAGTCATCTCCTTAATCGGTCAGCTCACTGCCTGTTCTATCAGATCAGGAATTGGAATCTGTTTTGTCCTGCTCTGTATCCTCGAAACCTGAAATATGACTGGCATATGGTAGGTGCTCGATAATTATCAAACGATCAATTAAAAACCAGGATGTGGCTCAGTGGTTGAGCGTCGACCCATGCACCAAGAGGTCGCCAGTTCGATTCCCGGTCAGGGCACATGCCCAGGTTGTGGGCCCGATCCCCAGTGGGGAGCATGCAGGAAGCGGCCAGTCAATGTTCTCTCTCATTGATGTTTCTATCTCTCTCTCCTTCTCCTTTCTCTCTCTCTAAAAAAAACCCAAAAAAAACAGGATGTTTTACAAAGATTTAAATGTCCAAATTTTTCCATTTTCTTTGAAAAATAAGAAGGCCTGGTACCCTGGTACCCAGGTCTTAAAAATGTGGAGACATGATAAAAATAAGACAGAAATAAAAGGAAAGGTGTGGCTACAAGTGGCTGCAGCCATGCTTGGCGGCCCCGCTCCCACTACTCCTGTTGTCTGGCCCGGACCCCTTCTCCCATGTAGGTTCCTGCAAAAGCCCAGTAGGCCTTGAGTTTGGGATCCCTGCTCCACAGAAACGAGTGAAAACCATCGAGAAATCTCCCTCTGGCCACAAACCCTGTTCTTCAACTGAGGAGACCAGCCAAGTGGCTGTGAAGGCTACGGATGGGTGCCGACGAGGTGCGCAGAGAAACCCCGGTGCCGAACGTGTGCATTTGGGGGGTCCTGAAGGTTTGGGGCAAGGGTGCCTGTCCTTCCTCTACCCTGGAGCCTTTTCTCTGGGTATGACACAGGAACATTTTTTCTATTTTTGTTAATCCTCACCTGAGGATGTTTTTTTCCATTGATTTAAAGAGAGAGTGGAGGTGGTGGGGGAGGAAAAGAGACGGGGAGAGAGAGAGAGAAAGAAACATCTATGTGAGAGACACAAAGATTGGGCTGGGGATTGAACCTGCAACCCAGGTACATGCCTTTGATTGGGAATTGAACCCGTAATCCTGTGCCCAGGCTGATGCTCTAACTACTGAGCATACTGGCCAGGGCATGGGCATTTTCTATTTGGTTCTCAAAGGGACTGTGACCCTCCAAGGCTATCAGCCTTGGATATGTTCTCACCATATCCACGCGAGGAGATTATTTTCATTATCTTACAAATGGGGAAACTGAGGCCCAGAGAGGGTAAGATCGCATAGTGGTGGGGCTCACTGCCGTGAGGCTTCCTTTCTCACTCTGCTTCTGAGTGGCAGTGGGGGGTCATCAGGCCCCCAGAACCCCGCTCAGGCCCCACTCACCCAGAGGGTCTCCGTCCACGATGCTGTACTCCACCTGCCCGTTGGGGCCCGAGTCCCGGTCATGGGCCAAGAAGGTCCATACTCGAGGCCCCGGCTGGCCCTCGGTGACATCAAATGGCCCCTCATAGTCTCGGGGGAAGGTGGGCACGTTGTCATTGATGTCATTCACGTTCACAAGCACCTGTGATGGTGGACAAGCTCAGCTGGGGCTGTACTTCAGCCGGCCCTGTGCGGGGCCCAGGACCCTCCTCGGGAACCTGGACCCAGTAATCTGGCCTCAGGGCAGATGCAAGAATCTCGAGACATGGATGTGGGGGCCCCTGAAGCTAAGCACGGATCACTTACTGTTACCACTGCAGCCTCTTTGTGGGCACACTCATGTTCTTGATAATGAAGGTCTGAACTTCTATTTATTGCTACTATGGTCATTGTACTATGGTCATTGTACACGGTCTTGGTTGCTCCTCTCCTACCCTGGAATCGTTTTTACTTTCCCACTTTCGCAGGGAAGGAAGATGAAGCTCAAGGTGGTTAAGCGACTTGCCCAGAGTCACACAGCTAGAAAGTGAAAGAACAGGGCTATGCACCCCTGCTGGTTGGACCAGAGTCAGTGCTCTTCCCACGAAGGGGAGAAAGGCAGGTGTCATCATCCACCTGACAGATGCACCACACAGAGAAGTTCACTAACTTCCTCAAAGTCACACAGCGCGTTTGGGTGAGTGGCCGAGACCAGGATAGGGCTCTTAGATTTAGGTGTTTCTACTGGACAATCTTTCCCTACCCCTCTGCCCCATTCAAGCTTCCTGGGCTCCATCCTCCCCCCACCCCCAAGTTGGGGCTGTGTACCACCCACCCACCGTGGTGGTGGAGGTGAGGCGGTGGGACAAGATGGGGCACTGGTCTGTGGCTGTGACGATCAGGGTGTAGCGGCCATGGCTGATCTCGTAGTCCAGCTCCTTGGCAGCACGGATGACACCCTGGGGGATACATAGAGGGAACAAGGGTGGATCGATAGGTAGTGGGTCTAGCCACCCTGAGAACCAGCTCCTTCAGGGGGCACTCCTCACCACCCCAGCAGGCAGGCATCCTGCCCATGATGAGAAACCCTTGTTGCCATCCACCCAAGATTTTCATCCTCCTGCAACGGCTGCCCCCAGTTTCCTCCCAGACCCCATCTGTGCTCTGCTCCCACTGCCATGATATCACTGAGCTCCCCTCCAGTCCCTTTCGCCAGCTGGCCCTCTCCTTGGGCCCCGCCATCAGCTGCTGACCGTGTGTCTGTCAATGCGGAAAGTGTTGATGATGTTGCCTGCAATGATGGCGTAGGTGACTGTGCCATTGGGCCCCTCGTCCAGGTCCAGTGCCTGGATGGTGACGAGGCTGGCGTTGATGGTGTCTGGGCCCTCATCCAGTAAGACCTCGTAGTGGGGCTGCTGGAACACAGGTGCATTATCATTCTCGTCCACGATGGTCACGTACACGTGAGTGGTGGCCTGTGGAGAAGAGTGTGGTCAGCGGGCTGGAGGGGTGAGGTGGAGCCAGCTGGCTAGTCTCCCAGGCTGAAGTCACTCAGTGTGACCCAACATGGGGAGGGAAAGGGAGGAGGATGCGAGGGAGGGAGTCGCAGGCCGGCAGAAGAGGCCATCACAGTGGCTCCACCAAAAGCCACCTAGGTACTGCTTAGGTCCACGATGGCACTTCCCCACCACTGCTCTGTCCATGCCCATGGCAGACATCACTAATCAATCAGAGCACTGCTGAGGCCAGATATAACTTCAGGATCCTTGTCAGCCCAGAGACCTGGTGATTAAAACTGGCATATAAGATGAACCTCAGGAACCCCCCAAGCCCATAGCTTTGCCTGGGCCAGGGCCTTACTGACTCTGGGCTTCCATCCAGATTACAAGAGACAAGAATGTGATGTATTTAATCCAACACAGTATTTAAGCTTCACCCACGTTCATATACATGCAAGAAATGCCTATTTCCAGCAGTGTTAACAAGGAGAACATCCGCCTGGCTGGTGTGGCTCAGTGGTTGAGTGTCGACTTAGGCACCAAGAGGTCACCAGTTCGATTCCTGGTCAGAGCACATGCCTGGGTTGTGGGCCCGATCCCCAGTGGGGGACATGCAGGAGGCGGCCAACCGATGTTCTCTCTCATTAATATTTCTATCTCCCTCTCTCTCTCTAAAAATCAATAAAGAATTTTTTTTTTTAAAGGAGAACATTGGATTTGGGGCAATTTTGTGGGCAGCATTTGTCGAGCAATGAGAAATGAAGATCCCAGAACATGCTTCACTACAGGAACAGTTTCTGTAACGTACTCGTTGGCCATTTTTGGCCGATGCCTGGTCCTCAGACCACATGTAATATTTAGACCACTGGAACGCAGTGATCAGCACCACGTGGAAACTGGATACAGCACTTCCCAAGCAGAGCAGGTATAGGACAGACGTTAGCCGCGTGCTGGTATTCTGTGTTCCTCGGCCCCTCCCCCACCTGCTCTGCTTCTCCACCTGGGAGGATGTCCCCTGCAGCCTGCCTTACCTGGGCTCCCTCGCCACCTGGCTTCCAGACGTGTTTGGCCAATGGGGGATCCTGGCAGGAGGGGAGGGGAGGGAGGAGGGAGAGGCGGGGTGTTCCCCACTCGCCCTTTTCTTCAGTGTAGTTTTGCCAGTAGCTGTGTTTCTCCTGTTGGGTGGCCCCTTTCAGAGCTACAACTGCCACTGGCTCCAGTCACCTCACCTCCTCTTCTAGTCCTTTGGCTATGTGAGTGGTAATGGCTTCCTGCAGTTGCTGGTCTGAGGGTGCTTCCCCAGCATTAAACTCCCTCCAGCTGAGCCTGCCTGGGTCCTCCCTTCACTGCCAGCACAGCACCACCGTGCAGGAAAGGGGCCGGACCCAGCTTCGCCCGGGAGTGGTGGTGCTGGCATCCCCCACCTTCCCAGGCTCCTGGAAGTGGGTCTAACAATCTTGCAGGCTGCAGGGGCTGGTGCTGGGGGTGGGGGTGGGGGTTTCTAATGGAGCTGCCCCACAGAGCCTCTTCTGAGATCAGGCCTAGCTTGGCAGGGGAGGGCGGGTCTGACTCTGGTCTCTGGAGTGAGGAGGAAGTTAGTAAGTACCCCAAAGGCCCTTTCAGCTGAGCCCTTCCTGTCCTTGCATTGAGAAAACGGTGCTTGAGGTTTCTGGACCATGCCCACACCTTGGGCAATGCCTGGGTGTTTCACCCTGCTGCAAACCCAGGAAGCTCAGCTGGTGGGAAGTACAGCAGGGAGGAAGGAAGTGGAGGGGAGCGTCAGGGGTAGGCTCAGGTGTTCTAGCCCTCTGGTGAATGGCTTGTGGGGGCAGTTGCTCCCCTTCCCCTAATCGAAGTCACTTCTCACCTACTTTCTAGGCCCTAGGGCAGAGGGAGTCCCGTTTCGAGGGTGGTTTGGGCAAGGTCAGGCCAGGAACAAATGGAGAGTGGTGGGGGCAGGTGCTCCAGGGTCTCACCCTTGAAGGACCCCACCTCTGCCAGACGATGGCACTTTCGTACCTGACTTCAACAGGCTTTGCCCCTGCTCTGGGTGGAAGAGCTCCCCTCTGCCAGCAGAAAGGACCCTGGGCTGTCTCCTGAAGTGGATCATAGATCAGGATCAGGATCAAGGAGCTGTTATGTCCTGGCAGTCTCTGGGCCTCCCATCCCAGGGAGATTCCCTGGCGCCAGGGGGCTGGGCCGACACAAAGTCGCCTAACTAGTATGACACTCACGCTAGCTCTGTTGCAGCCTTCCCTGCTCCAGCAGCGAGGGCTGAGCGCTCTTAGAGAGCCTCTGACTTTATCAGGGCACCCAGATTCCTGGCTACTCCTGAGTCCCTCTACCATGGTTCCCAACCCAGACGCACGCTGGCTGTCCTCTGTCCTTCAGCCTGGGAGTTGCCTGGGAGCTCAAGACCCCTAATGAGCCAGCAAAGCACCTGGAAGCTTCAGCCAGGCTGGGTAAACTGGTACAATGGCCGTGCCCTCCCCCCTTCTAATCCCTGGCCCTAGCCACTGTTGCCTCCACTCCTCCATTTAGGAAATCACTCACTTATTCGCCGGTTTGCCCATTCAGACAAAAGTGCATGAAACACACTCTCCAAGCCCAGTTTTCTGCCAGGGACTCGGGAACATCAAGGAGAGGCTCTCATCTCCCACAGCTCATGGTCTAGCTTAGAAGGGCAGATGAGCCCAGATGAGATCGACTGGTTGGTAACCAGGCCTGGTGTGATAGCTGAAGGGGTGTGGATATAAAGCCTGGAGAGGGGACGCTCAGAGGTTCAGAGTACTTGGTGAAGGATGGGCTTGAGTTGAGCCCTGAGGGATGAGAAGTTTTGGAGGAGAGGAGAGAGACATGGCCAGTGTGGCCAGTGTGCTGAGTTGGGTGCAAGAGCAGAGCACTAGCAGGGTGTGTGTGTGTGTCCTGAGAATGTCCAGGCACAGCTAGTGAGATGGGTAAAGTGGGAAGGGAAGCTGGGGCCTCGGGGGAGAGGAGCACTGATGATTTTCTAAGGGACACACGACCAGATGTTGCACACACACATACGTGTATCCTAGTGTACGAATGTGCCCAGCCTGCTGTGTGCTCCTGCACCCGAGCCATGTCCGTGTGCAGTGTGCATGTATACGAGGGTGTTGCAGGCTCTGGAATCTACAGTCAAGTCTGCTCCAAAGTTAGATTGTTTTCATTCATTCATTCCACAACTGCGAGTGCTTGTCACATCCCAGGCCTTGGGCTGGGCTGGAGGATGTAGGGGACAGGCCCCTGCCCCCAGACAACTCAAAGGCTGGTGGTAAGGGCAGACACAATCCGTGATGATTCTGTATCACGCTAAGTTACACACAGACATACTTCACAGGCTGTGCACCAATACCGATCCTCTCCAAGAGGAAGGGGGGAGAGTGGAAAAGGCTTCAAACTGGCGATCAAGTGGAGCTAACTGACTCCCTGAGTCACTGACTGGCTCCCCTACGGTGTAAGTCGGCTGGAAGCCCCGCCCACTGGGCACTTGGGAGCAGTGCCCCCCCTGGCCTCCGGGGGGCGCTGCCGAGGGGAGCGGGTGCTGAGCAGGAGGCTCGCAGGCGCTGGCTGCTTTCACTTGCTGGCGCTCCGGGAACTCACTTCACTCACTCGCCGGGAGGTTGCTCGCCTGCCCTCCGCTACCAAGAGTTCGCCGTGTGTCCGCAGCCCGCTTCTGCTGGGCTGCCCCAGACGCACTCCACCCAGCCGCTCGCGCCCGACCCGACGGTGACATGGGCTTCCCCCCAGTCCTGGAGGCTGGCGACCGGCGCTGGGGGCCTGTGCTCCTTGCTCTCTTCCTGGCTGCCTCCCGAGGTAAGGTTGACAGAGCCCAAGCATTTGGGCAGGGCACAGGGAGAACACAGCGGGTGGGGTGAGGGGGTCTCAGGCCTGATGGGCACCCTGGGAGCCCCCTTCAGCGCGCTGTGCTGCCCACCCCCATGCAGGGACGCTGCTGGGACCGCTTGGCAGGGGGCAGCAGCGCCTCTGCCAAGTGCTCTGGCTAGGCAGTGGGTACATTTCTATGCTCTGACAGCTGCCCAAGCAGCTGCCCATCTAACTTCCCTGCCCGGAGGGCCCAGGGCGAGAGTAGCTTCTGCAGAACAGGGGATGGGCATTGTGGGGATAGCTCCAGTGTGTTCTAGTGGACATCTGTGGCATCTCCCTGCCCCTGCTGCCTCAGGGTTCCAGGATCTCACAGGGTGCAGGGGGTGTGGTACTCAGCCTGTGCCCTGTCCCCTGGCGACACTCCTGGTCCAGCCTTGCTGGGCACTGGTCAGTGTGGGTACTGGTCCACTCCCAGACGTGGGCACCATTGTCTGTATCCTGAGGTCTGATGGCTGAGAGTTGAGTGGTCAGCTGATTCCTGGCATCCTAGAGAAGCTGAGCTCAGGGACCCAGGTGGGGCACTGGGGAGAATGTGGGACACTTCTAGCTTGGCCTTGATGCCTTCTGGGTCCCAGGGTAACTTATGGCATTCTTCTGGCCTCAGCTCAAACACAGAAGCCCTACACGAGGAGGTGCCACTCTCCTCTTTCAAAGTCCAAACTGTCACAGCCCAGGCGATATCCTGGTCAGGACCCAGGAGCTCCTGGGGGGAGGGCAGGGGTCCTAGTACCCATAGCCTGGCCTCCGGTTTTTGCCTGCCCAGAACTGAAGAGGCTGGATCTCTCGGGAAGAGGGGCTGAGGCAGCCCGTGGAACTAAACTTTATGGGGAGGGCCCAGGGAAAGTGTGAGTCATGCAAGGAGTCAGAGGGAGGCAGGAGGGAGGTGGGGAGCTTGGCACAGAGACCCAATGGGTGGGTCAGGAGGAGAAAAGAGAAGAAGGGGAAGGACAGGGCTAGAGGCAGAGGAGGAGCTGAACCTGGAAAACAAATGGGTGCCTGCGGGCAGCATATCTCAGTACTGGGACGCTGGCCAAGCCCTCTGACACGGAGGGAGCCCATAGACAGAGCTGCCTACACTCCAGCCTGGATACTCCATCCTGGGGAGACAGTGGGGGTGGGGGCAGTCTTGACACTGAAGCCATGGCTCATGTCAGGACATGGCTTCCAGAAGGGGCAGAGGATGGTGGCAGGCAGGAAGGGGCCCCTTACTTTACCTGCTTTGTTCCATCTTCTCCAAGTGACTCCGAGAAGCCCTCCTGTTTTCTTCCCCCTCCCTGCCCTCCCCTGCCCTCCCCTGCCTGGGCTGTTCTCTGTTCAGCAGCCTCGGTTTGGGAAACTGAGTTCTAGAGAATGAGGGCTTAGAGACCTAGCTTGCAGAGCCCCTTGCTCCATATTGGCTGCAGAGCCAGGAGCCTTCACCCCAGAGGTGGCGGCTACTCAAACAGCTTGGTACTCCGTCTCTTCCTGGGCCCAGCTCGGGGAGATCATTAGGGCTCGACGCAGCTTTCCACAGACAGGAGTCTTAGTGCTGCACCACCCCGAGACGCAGAATTCTTTACTGCAATATGGGCATGCTACTGAAGATTCACCCTACTGCCCAGCACAGTGCGCAGGGAGATGCCAGATGGGAGGCCGGGTTGCAGGTGTGGTCAGGAGCATCCATGAGTTGGAAAGACCTGCTTACCATCCAGCTAAGGTGCTAGGCTCCCCCAGGAGGTTCCCAGGCAGGATTGTTCAAGTCAGAGTCCTCATGTCTGAGAAGGTCAGGTGGAGGGGGCTGGTGCAGGTCTGTTCTCTAGCTCTGCAGTTGGGCCATCACCCAGGAGAATGGTGGTGGAGAGTATGGTGCTCAGGAGCCCAGGGTGAAGATGCCCCTTTCCTGGGTCTGGCTCAGGGTGACATGGCTGGAGGAAGGCACTGAGGGAACCAGGACCCAGCAGGCCAAAGGGTGGCCGAGCCCCTCCTTTCCCTATAGGCATTCCTGGACCTATGCAAGTACTGGCCTTGCCAGGTCCTCATAGGTGACCTAGGAGTCCCAAACTCTGGGACTAGCACATGGAGGGGCCTGGAGGAAGAGACACACCTTCCCTTCCAGGTAAACACTGCTGCCGGGCCTGCTGAGTAACTCCATGGCGCAAGCGTCTTTTGCAGCAATGGTCAACTCTTAGGAAATCTGCGGCCCTCGCCCAGAGGCTGTGGGGGTGGTGAGAAACAATCTTTAGGCCAGCCCATTGGCATGAGAGAACATCTACCCAATGCCAGGGGCATCCCACAGTACTGGGGGTCCCTCTCTGAGCTGGGCTGGCTGCTCCTGTTTGTCTCCAAGCAGGGCAGAAGTTCCCTGCTGGGGCCTGACCTCCGTGGAGAGGTCAGGGGGGAGGTGCTGTGCTGGGGCCTGAAAGAGGCTCCCTCCTGTACGCGCACACACGGGGCCTGCTGGCAGCTCCCCTTCCAACCAGCACTGACTGAGCCCCACCTCCTGAGCTCGAGGCTCCAGGCTTTAGGTCAACTATTCATTCCGGAGCAGTCTGGCCTCACCAGGGGACAGTGAGCTGGGGATCGGCAAAGCAGCTTCCGAAGGACCCCCGGGTCCCCTTAGCTGCATGGGGACGTCCTGTAGCACCCAGTGCAGGAGCAGCAGAGCAAGGACCTGTAGTGTGAGCCCTGAATGCCAGGGCTTCCCTGTGGCTCTGCTACTTAACAGTTGGCTTTAGGAGTCAGTCAGCCTAGGTTCAGATCCCAAGATGCCACTTACTGCTCTGTGACTTTGGATAAGTTACTCAGCATCCCTGAGCAGGTTCCCTCATCTCTCAGGTGGCGGTGATGACAGTACTCCCTCAGAGGGTTGCTGTGCCAAGTCAGTGCACAAATATTTGCACAGCGCCTGGCACTGTGAATGTGGTGCAGTATTATGCTGTTTCTTGGGTTCTGGAGGCCACGTGCCAATGGCTCTGCTCTGAGCTCCTTGCTGCCTACAGGGCCCTGTGGGGTGACCTGGGCATGGGGAGGCACTGCCTTGTTTCACTGGGACCGGAGGCCTGATGGATACACAGGCTGGGTCTAGCCCCTGCAGCAACGTAGGCGCTCAGAGTCTGAAATGCCCATGGAGGTGCCTGTGGCTTCTCCTAAAGTCCCCCCGAGATGGCAAGTTGGGCTCAGGGTTTGCTTAACTCAGTGGGGGTCTTTCTTGCAACTGATCTTTACGTTCATCTATTTGCTTTGGCTGAGCATCCCCAGAAAGACAGACAGTGGCCACCATCATGCAGTAATTCAGTAATTACTGATTAAGCAAGCCCAGTTCCTTTACCCCTCCTACAAAGGATCTCATCCCCCATGGGGACATGGGGTCAAGTCCTGCCTCTGCTGCTCACTCATGGTGGGACCATGAATGTACATACCCGTTGACAGGACCCGTGGGCAGGCCTGGTGACGTGGTCCCAGCGAGGCTGCCCACTCCCTCCTGAAGGGTGGCTCTGTGACAGTGTTTCCTGGGCTTCAGTCATTCCTCATCATCTCTGGGATTTCTGCAGTGTCGGTCTATCATCTTTACACTTATTTTTTCTTTAAATCTACAAGTTCTTTTACTTAAGTAAATAGATTTTAAAAGGAAACTTTATATCACTGCCATAAATGGGAAGCCAGTATCACTTGCCATAAATAGAATAAAATCATAAAAGTATATAATAGAAAGACCAAATAAGGGTATTAAATTCTAGTTGGAACTCTAGCCTGTGAAGGCTCCAACCTGAAACCTGCTGTCCTTTGCAAAAAACAAAACAAAAACAACCCCCCAAACAAACCAAAACTAAAGGAGCCCTGCAAGTGACAGGTATTTTGAAGACCTATTGGCATCAGACTGGAACTTTCTCTTTGATATAATCAGGACAGAAAGAGAACTGAAAAAGGAATGACCTCTCTGTGTGATTCGATGTATCTAATGTGAAGTCAAAACCACTTGTGCTGGAAAGGTTGGCAGCTCCTCCCCACCAGCTCAGAAGCAGGCTCACCTCTGGAAGGAGCTTAGCTGGAGGCAGCTCTCGGGGGGGGGGGGGGGAGCATGGGGTTTGGGGGGGCATGGGGATTGGGGGAGGCCAGTGCAGATTCAGTCTCTCCAGGCTTCTTCCAGCCCCCATTCTCCCAGCCCTGTTGCCTTCCTCACATGAATAGAGCTGCTCCAGCCGCATCCTCCCCTATGCTAGGACCAACTAGCCACCCTAATAAGCACAGGGGGAGAAGGAGAGGGAATTTGCAGCCTCACTGGCAGGGCCTAAGCAAGCTAGGTCGTCTTGGGTCAGGCCCCTGTCCATATGCAGCAAGGAGGTGGGGCCTCCAGTCAGCCCCTGGCTCTACCCTCTAGAGGGTAGTCCTGCCTTTGCTGGGTCAGACCACCTGGGTTCACATCCTCGCACCACCACTTTCTTTACATGAGATTCTGTGCAACTTACTTCACCTCTCTGTGCTTCGGTCTCCTCACCTGTAAAACGGAGGAGGATTAAACAAGCGAATCCATGTGATTAGAATAATGCCCGGCACAGAGTAAGCACCAGCTGCTACTACCCCATGAGCCTCCTGCGCTGAGGGCAGGGCACAAAGACTTGAACCTGAGCCTTGGGAAGTCTTCATAGCAAAGGATCTTGAGGGCAGCTGGCTGGAGCTGGTAGTCTGGGCTGCATACAGTCATCCTCAGGGAGGGCCTGGGGGAGCTAGGGAGGAGTCATCCAGAGAAGCATCCACGGGCAGGGTCTCAGGCCAGCTGCCCAGGCCCTCCCCGGGGAGGTGTGCTGCTATCCAGCCGCCAGCCCCGGATGCATGGATGCTTTCCCAAGGTGCTGGAAGTGCTGCTTCCTCCAATAGAGCCTGGCTTCCCCTTCCCGGACTCCTTGGTCCGATGTGAATGGACACTTCCTGCGGGGGGAGGTATCAATAAA